TATTGCTAAATGGCTTGGGCTTGAGGCCCAAGTGATTGTCAAGAAACAACAGAAGGAATAATTGGTGTTTGACTTTTTTTTTTAAGATGGTTTTTTTTTTTTTTTTTTTTTTAAGTAATCTCTACCGCCAACAGGGGGCTCGAACTTGCTCACAACTGATCAAGAGTCAGTGCTCTACCAGCTGAGCCAGCCAGGCACCCCAGTGTTTGACTTTTTTATTTTGAGATACCAAGAACTTAACCACAGCTCCTAGAATAGAGGGGTTGTCAAAGAAATAACAGAATGAATAAATAGTGTTGGACTTTTTTTGTTGTTTTCCATGGTGCCTGGAATAATGTTAGGCACGGATGAGATGTTGTTCAATAAATACTTATTGAATTACTAGGAACACGTTATGTTTTTAAATACACTTTGGAGAAGGAATTAATCAGGGCTTGGAAAGTGTGGGTTGAAAGAGAATTCAGGGCACTACTGGGTGGCTCAGTCATTGGGCGTCTGCCTTCGGCTCAGGTCGTGATCCCAGGGTCCTGGGATCGAGCCCCTCATCAGGCTCACTGCTCAGCAGGAAGCCTGCTTCTCCCTCTCCCACTCCCCCTGCTCGTGTTCCCTCTCTCGCTGTCTTTCTCTGTCAAATAAATAAATAAAATCTAAAAAAAAAAAGAAAGAAAGAATTCAGGTAGACCTGCATAGTCTCTGGGATGGTATTGAAGCTGTCCTCCTCTCCAGATGGCTTCTTTTTAAAAATCCAGATGAGACAGGGCACCTGGATGGTGTGGTCAGTTGGTTGTCTGACTCTTGGTTTCACCTCAGGTCATGATCTCAGAGTTATGAGATCGAGCCCCGTGGCAGGCTCCACACTCGGTGCAGAGTCTGCTGAAGTATCTCTCTGCCCCTCCCCTTGCTTGCTCGTGCTCGCTCACTCTTTCTCTCTAAAATAAATAAATAAATAAATCTTTAAAATAAAATAAAATAAAAATCCAGATGAGGGAGAAAGCTCCCTGACACTGAAGCCGGGTTTCTGCATTTGGGAGATTAAGGTAGAAGCGTCTGCATAGCCCCAAGGACAGCGCTGTGCACATCACATGTGAACGTTCCATGAAGAGATGGGCAAAAGCCCAATTTAATTACTGAGATGGTTGTGATGATAATCCCATTTTTCTCATCCAGTTCACAGTCTAGGAAGGGCCGGAATCCAAACAGGGTATTTTTCCTTTCCCTGAGGGATCCAGACATTTCCCTGTCTTATTATAGCTGTGTGGAAAATCTGAAGTAAGCTGTTCATTGAACTATTTTCGGTGCAATACACAAGATAACTGTGATTGGCAGATAGGATGCCACCAGAGATTGACTGTAGTTGTATTAGACATACGATGCCAACTAATTAAGTGGAAATTTTTTTTGAATAAAGAACCCAAATACTCAGATTTCCTCTTGCTTATTCAAATTCTATCCCTTTTCGCTTCAGCATATCCTCTTCCTGACAGTGTTTTCACCTTAATACGTATGTGAGGCGGCTATTGGCAGTGCTGGGATCTGTCGGTGGTGGGTGGTATCTAGCCACTGACATAAGCATCTCAAAGTGTTAAGGAGAAGTGGAATAGAATTGGTACTGGGGGGGCTATTTTCACCAGAGTCACAGGATGATGGCTTGGGTACCGTGATCCATTGTTGGGCCCTCCGCTTTGCAACTCTGTATGTTGTTTTTTCAGCGTACTTGGAGTTGACTGAGTTTTAAAGGATTGACTCACAGTGGTCATACTTGCTAGAGATTAACTGATGTAAATTAATTAATTTACAATATGAGTTATTAACTGCCAAGTGGTACAGTATTTGAACTGACCACTCAGTGCATTTTGTTGCTTTAGGACAGACTGTTGAGTGAACATGGAATCAGAGCAAAGAGACGGGGGTAGAGAGGATAGATTTGTAGGGTGATCTTACTAATTGGCATCATCCAAGTTTGGCAGCCTGATTTCTCCTGTAGAAATGCACCTGTCAAGGGGACGAGAATCCCGGAATCTACTGGTTAGACCACCGTTTTGCCATCACAGTCTTGGAGGCAACACGTATTGATTTTCCTTTTCTAGACTCCATGCAGGCTACCCATACTCTTTTGTTCCCATAGTCTTTCTTCAGACACTTTAGTAATATTTAGTAGTCTTCAGCTTTCTTGTATACTTAATGGAGTGTTAAAGTTCCTGGCCCTGTGGTTTTCTGAATTTAGAGTATCTTCACCAGATACTTAATCTTATCTACCAGGAGTTGAGTTTGTAAATTGTATTCAGAGACTTGGAAATGCCTTGTTGACTGCCCCCCTTGTACTGACCACCAGAGAGGATACTCCTTTCACAGTGCCACACTGATGGAGACAGCTGAGAGACAGGTGTTCTACTGACATGCCTGTGCCTTCCCTGCCCAAAACACCTGGCCCCAAAATTGTGCTGGGCATGCTGTTTTATTTATTTTTAGAAAAGATTTTATTTGGGGCGCCTGGGTGGCTCAGTCATTAAGCATCTACCTTTGGCGCAGGTCATGATCCCAGGGTCCTGGGATCGAGCCCCGCATCGGGCTCCCTGCACAGAGGGAAGCCTGCTTCTCCCTCTCCCACTCCCCCTGCTTGTGTTCCCTCTCTCGTTGTATCTCTCTCTGTCAAAAAAAGATTTTATTTATTTATTTGACAGAGAGAGAGAGAGGGAGAGCAGAAGCAGGGGGAATGGGAGAGGGAGAAGCAGGCTCCCCACTGAGCAGAGAGCCTGATGTGGGGCTTGATCCCAGGACCCTGGAATAATGACCTGAGCCAAAGGTAGACGCTTAACCAGACTGAGCCACTCAGGCGCCCCAGCATGCTGTTTTATTTTGATAAAAAGGAAATGCACGTTCCTTAGGCACATTACCTACATCACTTTATTTAATCCTTAAAATGACCCTACGAGAAAGTTATTGTTCTATTTCAAATATGGGGAAGATGGGGTGCAAGAACTTAGATAATTTATTTGCCTGTGGTTACGTTCCTGGTAAATACCTCCTCTCAAATGCATGTCTCTCTGATTCAAAGGCTTATTCTTTTATTGATAAAGGTTATTTTGTAGCTTTCATTATAAAAGTAAAATATGTTCATTATTTAAAGTCTGAAGAAAAGTAAAAAGAAAATTATCCATAGTCCCACTCCAGGAGAGACAACCATTGTTGATTTTAGCTCAAACTTGTTTGTTTATACTACACACTGTTTTGAATTTACTAATTAAGTAAGTTTGCTGTCAAAAAAGTAGTGTGTCTCAGAATTCTAGGTGGGCCTTACCCCAAAATACATTTGTTTATTTTTTTAAATATTTGTTTATTGTTTTATTTTTACACTAAGTGATTATTAATTAAACATGTTAAGTGTCCAACATGTGACCAGCACAGCACTAGGTGTACTGGGTGATGTATGGAAGCTCTGTGGTCACTGAGTCTCAGAGTTGGAAGTTATTTCTTCCACAACATCCCCACTTCTGCTTGAACATGCCACGTGGACGAGCTCTCCCTCGTAGGGACTGCTCTTGAATTTTAGATCATTCTGATTATTAAGATGTGGGACTGGCTCCTCAGGAAACCTACAGTCTAGGGGAGATAAAATCAAATGTATGATAAAAGCCAGTAATTGAAGATAACATTTAATGTTAGGTGGGAGTAGGAATTGAATGAAGACCAACATCCATACAAGGAAGAGCAAACAGAACTCTGTTGCACATAGCCTTGTGTTTGGACGAGGTGCTTTACTTATAATTTCATTGGTTATCACAGCAATCCTGAGAAAAGGTAGTAGGTATTATTCCCATTTCACAGATGTTATGGCTGAGGTCCAGCTTACAGTTGGTGAAGTTGAGATTCAAGCCCAGGTCTGCATGGAACCAAAGGCATGCACTTACTTCTCTCCCACACTGCCCTCTCTCTAAAGTAGTTCCTGTGCTAGATTTGGGGGGGTTCGTAAAATAACTGTTTATTTTCTTATAAAAATGCACATGACATAGAAAATTTGCAAAATAGAAACATCACCTCTAATGCTACCACTTAGAGATACCTGTGATGACTAGTTTGGTGTCTTTCTATTTCGCCTTATTTACTCTCACATACGTATATGCGTTTGTCACATACCTTATGTGTACATATGTGTATATCTGTATATATGACTATATACTTAGGTATTCAGTATATCTTTTATACAAAACCACTTTTATATTATTTTGTTTGTGTTCTTTTTCTTTTCATAAAATATGATCATTTTCCAATGTCATTAAGAAATTTTTAAAGCATACCCTTTTAAGTCCTACAGAGAATTCTACCATGTGTATGTGCTCTTACTTTGTAACCAATCAATCCCTTATTAGAGTTGAAGCTCTGTAATTTTTGCTGTAATGTTTATCATATTTTTTAAGATTATTTATTTAGAGAGAGAGAGCACAAGCAGGGGGAGTGGCAGAGGGAGAAGCAGGCTCTCCGCTGAGCAGGGAACCTGATGCAGGGCTTGATCCCAGGATCCCGGGATCATGACCTGAGCCGAAGGCAGTTGCTTAACTGACTAAGCCACCCAGGCGCCCCTGTTTATCATATTTTGATAAGCATTCTTGTATAAACATTTTTTTGCATGTATCTCTGATGGTTTCCTATCAAGTATATGTGTGTTTTAAGACTTTTGTTCAAAACTGCCATCTGGAGGAGTTAGGTCACGTGCACTCTCACCAGTGTGCTGTTTGAGAATCCATGTTAGGTATTCTCTCCAGTACTGATAGTATCATTACAAAAAACCTTCCCTATTTGGTAGGTGAAAAATGACCTCTTTGTCGTTTTAATTTGCATCGCTTTGACTACCAAAGAGAACGAATCTGTGTTGGAGTTGTCATCTGAAGTTCTGCCAGTCTTTGATCTCCTTCTTCCTCTAAGAGCCATATGTATGAAGAAGAGGAGGGTAGAAGGCTTCATCTTATTTATACTAAAGTACTCTGTGTCCTATCTTTTGGCAGATCTCTGACATCTACATTAGTGGAGAGTCAGGGGACATGTCAGCCAAGGAGAAGCTGCTCTTGTGGACCCAGAAGGTGACAGCTGGTTACACAGGAATCAAATGTACCAATTTTTCCTCCTGCTGGAGTGATGGGAAGATGTTCAATGCACTTATTCACCGGTACAGGTAAATGCAGTAGAATTTCCCTATGCCTGCAAGAGCTTCTCATCTTGCTTGTAATAAGTTATAATGCCACTTTTCCTCTCAACCAAGAATCAAGACTCTGGTTCATTTTAGTCATTGAAAAAAGGAATATATATTCAACTCCTACTATTCTAGGCACTGGGTACAAAACAGCAACTGCTCTTGCTTTCATGGAGCTTATTTGTTTGTTAGGCAACAAATAAATACATGGTGTTATATGATGGTAAGCACCATCGTATAAGGGTTGGGGAAGAGAGTGATGGGGTTTGTTGTATTTTGCACAGGGTCGCTGGAGATGGCCTCTCTGATTAGGGTGTTAGAGCAGAGCTGTAAAGGAGCGAGCCATGCAGGCCTTCTAGGGTCAGAATGCTGCACTGGGAGGAAAGAGCAAGTGCAGAGGGGCTGAGGTGGGGGCTTACTTGGAGTGGATAAGGAACAGCAGGTGGCTGGAGTGAGAGGAGTGAGGAAGATAGGAATTTTGATGACAAAAATCAAAATTATTGCACTGTTAGTGATCATAAACATATCCTAGTTTTCACTCTATACCAGTTTATGATACCTTTCCCATGAAATCCAGCCTACCTGCTGTTTGCCTTTAGAATGAGCGAGCACTGGGCTCCTGACATGTAATTGAAAATGGAATTAGTACCTTTCTAAACCTCTTGCTTTCTCTCTAATGCAGTCAGCATATTCTGGCTCCAGGTACTTCTAAGAGGTTTACTTTGTGTGAACTCATATGTGATGTGTAGATGGTGGCCTTTCATGTGCCTTGGTGGACTTTTACAGACCTGATCTGGTGGATATGGAGAGGGTACAAATCCAAAGTAACCGTGAGAACTTGGAGCAGGCTTTCGAAGTGGCAGAAAGACTGGGGGTCACCCGCTTACTGGACGCCGAAGGTGAGACCTGGCCGGAGTTGAGTATGTTCGCCTTATATTTCTTGTCCTTCTCCTGGCAGCTTTGTCTATTCTGACTAAGAAACTTCTTACCGTTTCTCTCTCAGACGTGGATGTGCCATCTCCAGATGAAAAGTCTGTGATCACTTACGTGTCTTCAATTTATGATGCCTTCCCTAAAGTCCCTGAGGGTGGAGAAGGAATCAGTGCTACGGTACAAGAACGCTTCCCCAAAATGCCTTCTGACTTCCATATGTTTGGGTGGAATGTACTGATTAGACCTTATTCTCAAGCACTCACTCTAGGCAGAGCACGTTTATACAGAGCAAACTGAATCCACATCCTCTTTATATGTGGCCATTGTCTTTGGTCCCTGGGAATGAATCTAGATGCTGCTAATTTTGTAGCATCCAGCATAGACTATCTAGTGTCAGGAAATTGAATCCCCTTTTGAGAGCCCCTCAGGGGCTCTGAAACTGGGACTCGAAGCATTAGGCTGAGCAGCCGTGTAGGCAATTAGAGGAAAGGGATTTTATGTGGTTTGGGGTGCCCTAAGCTACTGTCCCCTGTGCTTGTTTTGTGTACCGCTAATCAGAGCGTGTGTGATATCTACCTTTTGGCCATAGGAAGTAGACTCCAGGTGGCAAGAATACCAAAGCCGAGTGGACTCCCTCATTCCCTGGATCAAACAGCATACAATACTGATGTCAGATAAATCTTTTCCCCAGAACCCTGTAGAACTAAAGGTAAAGTCATGGACTTAAGTTGTTTTTTGTAAGTTCATTCCTGGGATTAAGGCTCAGAGCTTGTTGCTGCTGGCTCCTGGGTGAGGTGGGATAAAAGGCGGGTCAGGTTGCTTACACCCATCCATTCATTTACCAACTATTAATTTTGTAGGCACTTTATAACCAATATATACACTTCAAAGAAACAGAAATTCTGGCCAAGGAGAGAGAAAAAGGAAGAATTGAGGAATTATATAAATTATTAGAGGTAAGGGAGCTTATCCTTTGCTGATTCTTGGGGTGTGCTAGTTTGCCTTATTGTTACTTCCTTGCTGGATTGCCTGTGTCCTCTTCCCAACCTGCATTAATAGCAGTGTCCTCCAGGTTACAGACAAGCCTCACTTTTAGGCTGGTCTTGAAATTTTGTGGTAAAGGTGCAGTATCAACCATCTGTATTTCTTAGAGGCTTTTGAAGAGTGGCATACATTTATTCAGAAATGTCGAGTTTTGTGAATGAGTTTTCTGTTTTTCAGAAGGAAGCTAATTCTTTGCTATGATGGAAGGGAAAGAGACTTCCATCCACATTTTGATTCCTAGAGAATTTGAAACCATAGATTTGGGCATTGGGCCTTTCTGGAAGGGGGATTATTGAGAGGACAGGAGGATTTACGGAAAACATAGAAGGAATAGAAAGATTTAGAACAGGTAGTAGTCCCTGTATTTTGGAAGTGGTTTCTCTGCTCTCACCTCAAGTTGAGGTACTGCTAAGTATTCAGTTGTTTCCTCTTATTGGGCACGGGAGAAACTGCCAGTGGCGGGGTGAAGAAGCAAGAAGTGAGGTAGCAAGAACGCATAAAACTGGGCCTGAGGGCATGGCTGTGTTTTTGGACTAAATGAGTGTCTCTGGGATTTTTTAGGTGTGGATTGAATTCGGCCGAATTAAACTGCCTCAAGGTTACCACCCGAATGACGTGGAGGAAGAGTGGGGAAAGCTCATCATTGAGATGCTGGAGCGAGAGAAGTCGCTTCGCCCAGCTGTGGAGAGGTGGGCCCAGGGCCTGAAGGCAACCTGATGTAACCTACCCACTTGGAGCCTGGCATATGACTATGGTTTTTATCTTATTATAGGCTGGAATTGCTGCTACAGATTGCAAACAAAATCCAGAATGGTGCTTTGAACTGTGAAGAGAAGCTGACACTAGCTAAGAATACACTGCAGGCTGTGAGTGTGTGTTGTCTCTCCCCTCATGTCACGTGTTCTCCCCTTCTCACCCTGTGCTCTAATGGTCCAGATTAATGGTTGAGAAGTCCAGCCATGTCTCTTCCTTACTCTTGGATGTGCAGTGACCCCCTTGGCTCCCTCGGTCCAGGTGGCTGGGGGCACTGGCGTTCTCCCATGCCCATTACTCCCTTTCTGTCTTAGGACGCTGCTCACCTGGAATCGGGACAGCCGGTACAGTGTGAATCAGATGTCATCATGTACATTCAGGAATGTGAAGGTCTCATTAGGCAGCTGCAGGTGGACCTCCAGATCCTACGAGATGAGAATTACTACCAGCTAGAAGAGCTGGCTTTTAGGTAAGGAACATGAGACTCTGACAGAGGGCTTGCTTACTGCTGAGGGTCACAGATCAAGAGTCAGTCTCTGAATCTTGTAACTTGGATGGGAGGTCAGTGTCTCAGTGGAGATACCACAGGTATTTGGGGCAGGAAAATTCTCATGGTGGAGAACAATTTCCCCTCACTGCAGGCCCCATCCACTAAGTACCTGTAGGATTCCCTCATCATTGTGGCATCTTATAACACCCACACATATTTCAGAGTGACCTGCCGGGATACAGTACCACATCTGGGTTAGAACTGCTGGTGATCGAATGCATCATTTTATAGAGAAGAAAACCAAGCCCCATAGAGGGGATGAGGAGCATCTAAGTCACATAGTTTGTACAGAGCCAAGACTAAGACACATCTTTTGACCCCTAATCCATTGTTCATTCTGTCATACCATCCAAGAGTTATATAAACAGATACTGGTTTGCCTCCCTCCAATTAACATTGTAATTTGGTATTTGCCTCAACAACTCTGAACGATGAAGATGTTAATACCACCTTGTGTTCATATAACACTTCTTTTTCAAAACACTTTTCCTGATATGATCTCATTTTTATTTTTATCTCATCCTTGTCAAATGGATAAGGAGTACTTTATCTTAAAAAGTGCATTACAGGGGCGCCTGGCTGGCTCAGTCAGTGGAACATGTGACTCTTGATCTCAGGGTTGTGAGTTCAAGCTGCACATTGGGAGTGGAGCGTTACTTAAAAAAAAGTGAGTTACAGATTTAAGTCTTTTTTCTCTTCTTGCATTTCAGGGTTATGCGCCTGCAGGATGAGCTGGTCACCTTGCGTCTAGAGTGTACAAACTTGTATCGGAAGGGCCATTTCACTTCACTTGAATTGGCTCCACCCTCTACTTTAACCACTACTCATCTGAAAGCAGAACCCGTGACCAAGGGAACATACTCTTCCTCTACCTCCTGGTTCCGAAAGCCCATGACTCGGGCTGAACTTGTGTCTATCTCCTCCTCTGAGGATGAAGGCAATCTTCGATTTGTGTATGAACTACTGTCTTGGGTAGAAGAAATGCAGGTGGGTGTATGTTTCAAATGCTTATGCAGTGCATTCAGGTTTACTGGATCCAGCAGCTTGTCTAAGGGGGCCAGGTTGCTATATGCCCCTTGTGTAAACTCTCTTAACTATTAATGCTGCCAGGGACTCAAGCCCCCTTCTCGAATGTTAAATGGGTGGGGTCAGCTCAAATCCTCAAAAATCCCACACTGAATAGCATAGGCTTTTCTGATTTGAAGCCCTTTGGGAGTCCGTTCCCTTTAGCTAACTGCTCAAAGTGGAGCTCTTGGGAGAAATTGCAGTCTGTAGATCTCAGTCACCTTTTCGGAAATTTCCTCATTGGCAGAGGAGCTTATTCTCCACTCTTTGTTGTTGGTCTTACCTCTTGAGTTTAAGCAAGTCCCCCTGTGTTTCACAATTCTTAGGGGCACTATTTACATGTATTCTAGGATAGTGGGTCAAGTTTGATACTGTCCTTTTTATCCTTCTAATCCTTTTATTTTCTTTATTTTTAAGATTTTATTTATTTGAGAGAGAGCGAGCGAGCACAAGCAGGGGGAGGGGCAGAGGGAGAGGGAGAAGCAGACTCCCACTGAGCAGGGAGCCCGATGCGGGGCTCAGTCCCAGGACCCCGGGTTCACGGCCTGAGCTGAAGGTGAACACTTAACTGACTGAGCCACCCAGGTGCCCCTTCCTTTTGTTTTCTGTTAAATTCTTCCCATGCCCTGAAGGTGGATTCCCCATGTACCAATAAATAAAAACATCCGAAGATAAGCTATTTGAAAATTACTTGCCATTGGTCAATAGTTGATGCCATGAATAAAGTTTAACATTTTCAGATATTTCTTTCTTATATCCATTCTCATTGTGAAATGAAGAGCCTCCATAAAGGAAAAGGCCTAAACTATAAAGTTAATCTTCAGCCTGTGGAAACACTTTTCTGGTTGGTAAATTCAGGAATGTATCCCATAATGAGGCAACAGAAGGCTGCCCCTGCTATAGTAGTTGGTGTGGTCTAGTCTCCAGCTCCTTGGGGGTGACAATGGCATGTTTTCCTGTGAGAGACCATGATGGAGATGTCCTAGGTGTCCTCTTGCCCAGTCTTCAACCCTCAACCCCTTGCCCAACATCAGTTCTGAAAATTTTCTGTGTTTGCCCTATTCAGCCAATTATATACATATTTCTTCTTTTCCAGATGAAACTGGAGCGAGCAGAGTGGGGCAATGACCTGCCTAGTGTGGAGTTGCAGCTGGAAACACAGCAGCACATCCACACCAATGTGGAAGAACTGGGCTCAAGTGTCAAAGAGGCCAGGTTGTATGAGGTTCGTGGCGTTCAGAATCCATTATGGGAAGGTGTGGTGAGGTGGGGCAGGTAATGGAGTAGCTCACCAACGGTGCAGCTATTTCTGAGGAGAAGGGGGCTCTGGGGGCACCTGAGTGGCTCAGTTGGTTCAGCATCTGACTCTTGATCTCAGCTCAGGTCTTGATCTCAGGGTTGTGAGTTCAAGTTCCATGTTGGGCTCTACACTGGGTGTGGAGACTACTTAAAAACCAAACCAAACAAAAAAGACATAGGAGAAGGGGGTTCTGGAAAAGAATGATAACCATGAGCAGCACTTTACAACAAATTCCCTTTCCACATGAAGTGTCTCTTGCTCTTTGAAATACCCTTATGAGCAACGTATTTTTATTAACCCTTTTTTCTATTTTTTTTTAAAGATTTTATTTATTTATTTGACAGAGACACAACGAGAGAGGGAACACAAGCAGGGGGCATGAGAGAGGGAGAAGCAGGCTTCCCGCTGAGCAGGGAGCCCTATGTGGGGCTTGATCCCAGGACCCTGGGATCATGACCTGAGCTGAAGGCAGATGCTTAAGGACTGAGCCACCCAGGTGCCCCTTAACCTTTTTTTCTAAAAAGAATTGAGATACTGAAAGCTAAAGTCAAAATCAGTATGTAGTGGGTGCAGTTTCTAAACTCAGGCCCTCTGCTCCAAAACTTCATGCTCCTTCCACTTCACCTCCTGCCTGCAGGGAGAGCTGGTTTGGAGAAACTACTCACTCAGTCTTTCCCTGCCTCATTCTGTCCTCCCATTTGTAATTTCAACTTTTCCCTTCAAAAAAGCAATCGAGTAGTTTGGGAATCATCAGGCATAGGTTTTGCTAGAAACCTCCCAGAGTTACTGGAAGCACGAGATCTGTCAGCTGTATTCATCCCCACTGAACCATCCCTCACCCAGTGCTGCCCCAGGCTTGGAAACCTGGCCCAGAGATTTGTTATCTCAACTAGCCAGTCCCTATCTGTGTGCAGACATAGTTGAAACCATACTAGACATAGAGTTTACTTACTTTTTCTCTAATATATCTTTATTTCATGCCTTTCTTATCAGGGAAAAATGTCCCAAAATTTCCATACCAGTTATGTTGAAACTCTTGGAAAGCTGGAGACACAGTATTGTAAACTGAAGGTAAGTTTTGGCTCTTTTGTTCTCTTCAGGGACAGTCCAGTTCCTTCCACACAACTGTCTTCGCTAATTCAGAAAGTTTATGGTTCAGCCCTGTTTTGGTTTTCTGTTTATTAGGTTATATCACTTACTTTGCAATTGTTCATATGTATTATAACATTTTCTCAATTTTCTTAGTGGATCAGAAACCATTGCCCCAGAAAGTTTTAATTAAGTAGAACCTGTCCTAGTTTCCGTGTTTCACCCAAGCAGTGACTATATGTGCTTTGAGACACCAAAACTAAAAGTTTGAGATTAGTAGGAAGGAGACTCCTCTTCTGTCTCTTCTTTGTTCCTGTCTTTCGAGATTGTCCAGAGTAGGACAGGCCTTGGATCATTCTTCATTCAGGGAGCCCCACAAAAGCCTGGTGAGTTCTGAGTTCTTGCTAGGATTGACCAGGGCTCTGGGAGTCCTGTACCAAACTTGTACTAAATTTGAGTTCATGGAGAGACACCCAGAGATGAAAAATCAAGGCTAAATTTGTTTCCTGGGTTATTCTTTGCTTTGATGTCACATGTGCTATCTTCAACAGAGGAAAGCCTGGCAATCTAACCTTGTAATCCTTGCTTTGTCTAGGAAACTTCTAGCTTCCGGATGAGGCACCTTCAGAGCCTGCATAAGTTTGTCTCCAGAGCCACCGCTGAGTTGATCTGGTTGAATGAGAAGGAAGAGGAGGAACTAGCATATGATTGGAGTGACAACAATCCCAACATCTCAGCCAAGAGAAATTACTTCTCTGTGAGTCTTGCACAACAGACCTGTCATATTTATGTATTCGTAGAAGGAGACAGAGTGGCTAGTCTGTTGAAAGCTTGGATTTCTGGATTTGCATTCTACGAGGTAGAAATAGGGACCTCCCTGCTTAAAGGCATCTGTGGGTGTGAGAAGTCTACATGGAGAGAGGGGAACCTGAACCCTAGAATGTATTTACTTAGAATGCATTTAGAAATGCAGTGTCTTGGGGCGCCTGGGTGACTCAGTCAGTTAAGTACCTGCTTTTGGCTCAGGTCATGATCCTGGGATTGAGCTCTGCATCGGGCTCCCTGTTCAGTGGGGTGTCTGCTTCTCCCTCTCCCTATGCCCCTTCTCTCTCTCTCTCTCTCTCAAATAAATTTAAAAAAAAAGAAAGAAAGAAAGGCAATGTCTTGGACAAAGAGAGTTATCAGTCTGCAAGTTGAGTCATTTCAGAATAGCTTTGTGTTTAAGATGATAGGCTTTGGAGTGAAAGGGACCTGGGTTCAAATTCTTAATCCTCTACGTACTGACTCTGTGACCCTGGGGAAGTTATTTAATCTCTCTGGACCTCTATATAATGGGAAGATAGTACCACTTCAAAAGGTTGTGTAAAAGATTGACTAGCTAATATAGGCAAAGCACTTAGTGTAGGGTTTAGATATTGTTTAATTGAGGTATACTCTTGGCTTCTCACAAATTCTTAATTCTCTTAAATTCACTTAATAATTTTTTGGTCAAAAATCTTCATTTGTAAAATGGGAAGGGAAATTCAGCATTGAACAATGGTATAATACTTTTTATTCTTTTTCAGTGAATACAGGTAGGGTCATTTTTTGCTAAGTGTATTTCCACATCTCAGAGGTTTTTAAGGATTTTGTAAACTCTATGCAAATAGGAAACTTTTTTACTAACACTTACTTTAGATACTTTTTAATTCCATTAGAGTTTAAAAATTAAAAAATATAAACATCTCCTGATTGGAGAATGGTATATGATTCTTCTGTAGTAAAGGAGAAAGAATAGATGTTATAACACAGAAAACAGTCTGTCCGAGAATGGGAATTAGGCTGTGGTAAAGATAAAAAGAAAGTGCTTAGGGCGCCTGGGTGGCTCAGTCATTAAGTGTCTGCCTTCGGCTCAGGTCATGACCCCGGGGTCCTGGGATCGAGCCCCACATCGGACTCCCTGCTCTGCAGGAAGCCTGCTTCTCCCTCTCCCACTCCCTCTGCTTGTATTCCCTCTCCCGCTGTGTCTCTCTGTGTCGAAAAAATAAATAAAATCTTAAAAAAAAAAAAAAAAAGAAAGTCCTTAGAAAGAAGGGATCAGATCTGATGGCAGGAATCAGTACCCAGCTTCATAGAAGAGCTAGCATCTAAGTTGGGTCCTGTAATATTAACAGAATTTAAAGCTGATAGGACAGTCTGAGCAAAGCCCGCCAGTCAGTGATGGGGATCTAAGGGTGTGTCAGGTACTGTGTTAGGCCAGTGGGGCCAAGAACCAGTCCCGCCTGCCAAGTTTTCTCCTTCCTCTGCCTCCTGTGCTCGTCCCATGTTCCCTGCTTCCTCAGGTCTGGCCCAGGTCCCATATCTTTGTGAATCATTCTCCAATAATTCTAGCATTTTTGCTCTTCTCTGAAACCCTCTGGCATGTGCTGTTTACTCCTCTCATTTTGGCACTCACCCTATGTTGGAGGCTCCTTTAAAGTCAGGCAGGGAACACAGCCTTTAATAGCACTTACTGCATACAACTGAATTCAATTTTCAGGAGTTGACAATGCAACTGGAGGAGAAACAGGATGTGTTTCGGTCTCTACAAGATACAGCAGAGTTGCTGTCCCTTGAGAACCACCCAGCCAAGCAGACTGTGGAGGTATGTGACTTGAGAATGTGTAGGGGTCAGGTCCTCAGAGGTTGTCATCAGAGAAGCATTTAAACCCGAGACTTTGTTCTCCTGCAACACCTGGAGGAAGTGTCCGTGATCATTTGTCTTGGATCCTCTCTCTTGTCATCCCAGTCCCCAAAAGACTACAAACAAGGGAGAGAATGCGATGAGAAACCATAAGAGCTATAGACTCCTATTGAACCATATTTCTTCAAATAAGCATCCAGGCAGATCCTGTCTCCTGTTGGTGTGGTACCTTTGCCCAGAAAAGAGATAAAGTGGAGGAATCTGGGAGGGATTTATTTTATGTCCAGGTTTTGCTGATCATTTACAACTGACCCTTGAACAACATGGGTTTGAACTGTCCGGGCCCAATTATATGGGGATTTTTTTTTTTTTTTTTAATAAATACCATATAGTACTATAAATGTATTTTCTCTTCCTTACGATATTTTTTAGTAACATTTTCTTTGCTGTAGCTTACTTTATTGCAAGTATATAGTATATATATAGTATATGATATGTGTAATGCACAAAACAGGTATTTATTGACTGTGTTATCAGTAAAGCTTCCAGTCAAAAGCAGGGTATTAGTTACTTTTTTGGGGAGTCAGAAGTCACATGTGGATTTCTGACTGCACGGGGTTCGGTGCCCCTAGCCCCTCCATTGTTCAAGGGTCAGCTGGGGTTGCAGTTGAGCACGAGAGGCCTTTTCTATGTAGCCCGTGTTGGACGAAAGGCAAGCCTGTTTCTGATGGCAAGCGCTCAGCCGATGCCCGTCAGGTATCTCCGTGTATCTTGGGCTGGCCTGTCACTGGCGGAGCTGTGCTTGGAAGAGAGCGTTGCACGCAGACGTTGTTAAGCCCTGCCCTTCTGTGTGTGCGTTCCATTGCTGCAGGCTTACAGTGCCGCCGCCCAGTCCCAGTTGCAGTGGATGAAGCAGCTGTGCTTGTGTGTTGAGCAGCATGTAAAAGAGAATACTGCTTACTTTCAGGTATGTGGACTTTGTGTGTCTGTGTGAATGTGTGTGTGTGCGCACAACCCTGCGTGGGGAAGAGGTGGGGTGAAACAGATCTCCATCAGTTAATCTGTGCTGTGTAAACCACCACCCCAAAGCACAGCTGCCTAGAACAATCCTTTAGCCAGCTCTTGGTCCTGTGGGTTGGTAATTGGGGCTAGGCTCTGCTGAGATGAGAAAAGATGGTTTTTCTTATCTTGCCTAGAGTATGGATGGTTGCAGGCAGCTGGCAGGCAGGCGAGGGGCTGGTGGGTCCCAAACAGCATCACTTCCTTGTCAGACGGTTGGTTGGGGTGGTGGGACAAGTCCATATACAAGTCTGTAGCATCTAATAGGTTCTCCTGGGCTTCACGGAGTAGTTACGTTCCACAAACAGCCAGAGAGAGCAAGCCCCAGGGCTCAAGCCCTTTCCTCTGCTATCACATTTATTAATGTGTCATTGGCCAAAGCAAGTCACGTGCCTATATGCCTAGCTTCAAGGGGAAAAGTAGACCCTCCCTCTTGATGGGACAAGCTGTGAAACATCAGGACCATTTTTCTTTCTTCAGTCGATCACAACATCGAGAACATACTCCTTGTTTTCAGGTGAGGGTGGCAGGAGGAAATAAGCTGTTACCTCTATTTGGGTTTGCCCTAAATGAAATAATCTTCCTGATCATTTTGTTACCTTATCAATGGATTGGAACATTTGATCACTCAACCTCTAGGCTTCTCTTGATGTCTGCCTCACAGCCAAGTGTTGTCACTAGCAGCGTTTCCGAGGAGAGGAAGCCGACTGACTTTCCCATAGGGTGCCATAGGCTTTGTGGTTGTCATCACTAATATTTCCCGGACATGGCATTTTAAGCCCTTGGTTTCTACTTCTGTGGACTATGTAATGCAGCATCGGTAATCCAGGAGAGTCATCAGTTCTGCTCAGCTCTGCACGGGGAGATTGCTCTTTCTCGGTTAACATCCTTGTGTTATGATGAGTTGCACATGAGGTACCCCTCCACTCCCCACAGTTCTTCAGTGATGCACGGGACCTGGAGTCATTTTTGAAGAACCTCCAAGACTCCATCAAACGAAAATACTCCTGTGACCACAACACCAGCTTATCTCGCCTCGAGGACCTGCTCCAGGACTCCATGGTGGGTGTTGCATCAGCGGGATGATTTCTTCTGAGAAACAGAGTAAACCATCCCAGCTGCTGCTGTTTATATCCTTGAATGCTCCAGGGCAGTGGGTCATTACTATACAGTCTGGCTCATGTTCAAATAGAGTTTAACCCCAATTTTGTTTTTTTTTTCTTTTTTTTTTTCTTTTCTTTCTGTAAAAAAAAATTGCTAATAAGATTCCTTTGGGTGTGCTATTGAAGTAACAGCCTAGTCCTCTCCTCTTGAGCCACTTAGTGCTCAGCATACTTTCTTTGCATTGTTCCTATTTTAATTCAGTAGTTGGGACCAACTATGAGGTGTAGAGCATGAAAAATAGAGTTGAAGGGGATTAGGTGACATCAAATTCTTTTTTACTCCCTCATGCAAAGAGAATTAAAACCAAATCAATGAACTAGACCTGAGCCAAATTTTTCCTTGTCGGTAATTTTGTTTTGGTAAAATGAGATATTAGAATATTGATTGTAACTAAGGATGACATTAAAATCTTATTTAGATATCATGCAATATTTATATGTAGCAATATTAACTTAAAAAAATTTTGTATCTAGTATTTAATCCAAATCAATTTTATATTCATTTTCTCCAATGAATTATTCTTTCAGGAATGCTGGTAATAAAATCAGAGCAGGACTGTTTACATGTATTGAATGTATATTACACAGAGTTGGCAAGACAAGGCTCCAACTACATCCCAAATTAAGATAGAAGAGTATGTAATAGGGAAATTATTTTTTCTATATGAGAAGCAGGGGACTCTCATTTCAGTAGAAAATTATAGGTAAGAGAACCAGAATAACCCAAAACCGTCATTTTTTTCTTGAGTGAGACTTGGGTATTTGTGAACATTAGTTGATTATTTATTGATTTATTTTTACACTTTCAGGTGTTATTAACCTGTGAATGGGTTCACATTCAGTGTTTCACCTGGGCAAATAATCTGTTAATTTAATTAACTTGGAATGAAGGATAAAAGCCTGACGTTTTAGTTGTTGTCTCTAGAATGTCTCTCTTGGAGGTCCTTCAAGTATGAAGGAGGAATATAATAATCCTTGGCTATTATCTCCTCCCTTCCACAGAGTACCTTCCTGTCTTAGGGTAACTCCTCTGCAATTGTTGTCCTATCTTCTCTTCTCGAGGGTCGCTGCTCTGTTCCCTCCTCTCCAGGTCAGGGGCCTCGGGTTGGCGGCGTCATCTGGGCATGAAGTCACCTGAGTCTGCTCCTCAGCTTTTCCTCAGCTTGTCCGTCAGGTTCGGGAGCATCTGTCATGGCTTCTGGTTCTTTTCAGAACTTTTACCACGCTGAGCACTTGGTCTCTGGAACTTGAGATGTTTGGCTGTGGGTTAGACAGAAATTGACATCTTTATTGCAAGGACACGGAAATGGGTAGACCAGCTCTCAAGTATGGAACAGTGTGGCTGTCTCCCTGATATATTCCATTCCTCTTTCTTAACTAATAAGTTAAAGTTGTATTTCTTCCAATCATGCTCCCGGGGACAGGCACAGGTAGTTTATTTAAGCATTTCTTTTTCTTTACTTGCATATTCTTAATTCTTTAATGGCATTTCTTAACATTATTAACTCTTTACTCTCATCACATCTACTTCCATCCTAAGAAAGCCCTCTTCTAAGGACTTTTTATACCTCAAAATGGGCTTGACACATCCTGGTAATACATGAAAGTTATCTTTTACTCTCTAACACAAGTGGTAGTAGATTGCTACCAATTTTGTGGGCAAGAAGTTCATTAGTTTTTAAGATAATGGGGTTTGCAGAGACTTGGGAGCTTCAATTTTGCATGATACTTCTTTCAAATTAGTCAAATTTACGTGACTGTGGCACAGCAAGACACGAAAAGGTAAATCCTAAATCATTTGTAATGATGTCTTCACCAACAGCATCAGTTTATAAATTGTTGGTGGAAGAGCAAGATCTTTCTCTACAAAGTTTGACTCAATTTAAGAAAGTAAAATATTAGTAGTAGAGCTTGGGAGGTATAATTATTTAAAAATTTCTTAAAGAGCGCAATTCTGGCTTCTCCTAAGCAGAAGGCAAGAACTGGCTTCTACCAGTAAGAAAGCGAATAATAATAATAATAATAATAATAATAATAATAATAATAGCAACAGCAACGTTGTTATTATTGTTCTTAAACTTCCATGCTTTCTGAACCTTATTTGGGGAAATCCTGTGTTAGCTGTGTTTATCTGTATTTGGCAGCTGGCAATTCTTTTTGTTTTATGTTTTTATTATTTTTGCATGTGGCTTCATGATTCATTGAAAAGGGCACAAGGAGAAAGCTGAACAATTTGAGTACAAAAGCACTTGGTAGAAGACAAATATCCTCTCCTTGTTTCTTTATCTTTGTATTTCTAAGATGGCTCCACCACGGGTCCCTGCTTAACTGAGAAATGACATTCTCTGAGGGAGTGGAGCACTCAGTTTTCTTTGTTGACTCAGTCACCCTGAGTAGCAACGTTAATGTCTTCTTGTGTTTCTTCTCACTTTGTAGGATGAAAAGGAGCAGCTGATACAGTCCAAGAGTTCCGTTGCCAGTCTTGTTGGGAGATCAAAAACCATTGTTCAGCTAAAGCCACGAAGTCCCGACCACGTGCTGAAGAGCACCATTTCTGTGAAGGCTGTCTGTGACTACCGGCAGATAGAGGTGAGGAGATGGAAGGGGCGCCTCTGACTCCAGAGGAAAGGAAGGGAGAAGCAAAGCCTTTGGTTAGGGTTATGATAGGGAGAGGTCCGATGGTAGAGGGATTTTGTTTTGTTTTGTTTTGTTTTAATTAGAACTTACACATACTTAAAAAAAAAAAAAAAACCCGAACTCTACAGTCTTGACCTGCTTCCTGCCTCAGAGATTGGCATCATCATCCGCCCCATATCCTAAGTGGCGTCAGAAATGGTACTTTATAGCACCTGAGCAATACCTTTGGCTTTTCCCCTCTTATCCCCTACAACTGGTAGGACTACCAAATCAGTATCAACTTGTAGATAAATATCCCTTAGATGTACTTCTTTCTGTCTTTGCAGCTACTACCCTAAGGTAGACCGTCCGTTTCTTTCACTTGGATCATGGCGTCACCTTCCCAATTCAATGCATTCTTTATCTTTCCACCAGCATGATCTTTTTTTTTTTTTTTTTAAGATTCACTCATTTATTTTAGAGAGAGAGAGAGAGCACATGAGCGGGGTAGGGGCAGAGGGAGAGAGAGAAAGAGAGAGACTCCTCAAGCAGACCCCCTGCTGAGAGCAGAGCTCAAAGCAGGGCTCAATCCCAAGACCCCAAGATCATGACCTGAGTTGAAATCAGCAGTCGGCCACCCAACCGACCGAGCCACCCAGGTGCCCCCCAGCATGATCTCTTTTGTTAAGTTATTCCCCGGCTTACCTCCTACAATTCCTAAATTCCTTACTGTGGCTTCAAGGTCCTGAATAATCTTTCTTTACCTCTCTAGGCAAGACTGGGTCATTGTCCCTCTCATGCATTCCTTGGTAAATTTCATTTTCCACACAGTATTGTAACTCTATACCCCACCAGAATGTGTGGAATGTAGACCATGTTTATCACTTTACCATTCTACCATTCTTAGGTCCAGTGGCCCACCGAAATTCCAGGCACATACTAGGCGCAGTAGATATTTGTAATGCAAAGGAATGAACTTGTCTGGCACTTTTCTGCGTCTCAGTATTTCTGTCTATAAAATGGGGATGATAATGTTGGTTACTTATTTCCCCAGGGGAAGAGTTGATGATTCCAAAATGCTTAAACCTTTTCAGGGATTTGAGTGGGACGACAAGAAGGGAGGAAGAGGGAGTATCACAAGAGCAAAGTTATGATTATTCGTGTCCCTTTAACTTTTTTTTATTATGTTATGTTAATCACCATACATTACATCATTAGTTTTTTTTGTTTTTTTTTTAAGATTTTATTTATTTATTTGACAGAGAGAGACACAGGAGAGAGGGAACACAAGCAGGGGGAGTGGGAGAGGGAGAAGCAGGCTTCCCGCTGAGCAGGGAGCCCGATGCGGGGCTCGATCCCAGGACCCTGGGATCATGACCTGAGCCGAAGGCAGATGCTTAACGACTGAGCCACCCAGGCGCCCCACATCATTAGTTTTTGATGTAGTGTTCCATGATTCATTGTTTGTGTATAACACCTAGTGCTCCATGCAGTACGTGCCCTCTTTAATACCCATCACCAGGCTAACCCATCCCCCCAACCCTCCTCCCCTCTATCGTGTCACTTTAACTTTTACCCCGATGGTTGTAGATGCAGAGAGATAGCTCCTGGAGGTCTTAAGACAGTCTCCTTATAACTTTCATAATATCATAATGGGTTGTTGGTTTATCCGTTAGCAATAACTTGTGAGTTTGTCTCTCTAGATCACCATCTGCAAGAACGATGAGTGTGTATTGGAAGATAATTCACAGCGGACCAAGTGGAAGGTGATCAGCCCCACAGGGAATGAGGCGATGGTGCCATCGGTCTGTTTCCTCATCCCCTCACCCAATAAGGATGCCATTGAGATGGCTACCAGGTAACTTCGCTCAGCTGCCACCTGGGCTGCTTGGCCTGAGTAAGCTGGTGGAGGGATGAATCTGCATTTGTGATCTTAAACAGAGCAGCAAGGTTTTAAAATTTCTTCTGGGAAAGGCCTCCAATTAAGATACCAAATCTTTCACTGGCAGCTACATTGTAGCTTTTCAGTAAGTGCTGATGTTCAATTGAGATATTCAGTGATCATTCTTGAGTTAAACAGTTTACTCTTAGAAGACCGATTTTTATATTGATAGTTAATTTTCATCTTTATATTTTATTAATGCCATATACATACATATTTTTAAAAGCTGAATTATACCATGAAGCATATGATAAAACCCACCCACCCTAGAGTCCTACTTTCCTTAGTTTGCTATTTTCAACTATTGATTTTGATACCACTGAAATTTTAGTGGGATTTTTGGAGAGGGAAGATAAACTAATGGGTTTAAGGTCTCTTATTTAAGTTAAGTCCTGGCTTCTAGTTTTGCATCCTGTTCTTTGTATCTCACATTTCTTGACTTGAAGAAATTCAAGGTAATGTGGTATGTGTGTTGAATATGTCTGTGTATTTGTGAGTTTGTAAGTCTTCCAGAATTTGAGATTGAATTAGGCATGGGATGCTTTAGAAAAAAAATCTCTCCAGTCCTTCATACTGCAGTTTTATTTTTTTATTTTTAATATGCCAGATGACTTTTTAAGTTACTCTTAACTTTCAAACATCTTAGCAGTTTTGTGAATGTATAGACCACAGCAATGTACTTTTTAAGCATTGATATTACCATTTTTCAACAATTCCAGATGGGGTTATTTTATTTCTACTTTTCTCTATTACTTCTCTTCATGGATATATCTTCTCACTTCTCGTGATTATATATGGATCACATTTATAAGACTCCTGAACATATGCTGACATCATAGACATGATACTATAGTAAATCCAGATTGTTTGAATATCTCAGTTAATTTTGTTCTAAAGATTGTCTTGTTAGTATTTGATTCCTTGCCTTTCTCTGCTCAGCCTACAAACCCACTTCTGCTAAGGCAATCACATCTTCCCCCAGAAGTTCTCTAATGTGGAGCTCAAGTTTTAAAAGCTACAGCCAGGTTCTCTATTGTTTCTAGGGTGGAGCAGTCTTATCAGAAAGTGATGTCCCTTTGGCATCAGCTACATGTTAACACCAAAAGCCTTATCTCCTGGAACTATCTGAGGAAGGACCTTGACCTTATAAAGACCTGGAACCTGGAAAAGGTAAGTGTGAAAGCCTTACCTCAGGCTCACGTCCTATTGGCAAGCTTTTTTCAGAAGGAACTTTTTCTCATTACTGTGAGACTCCTACCCACCCAAAAGGAGTAGAGTGGAGTCGGGGATAGTGTTTCAGGATTAGGGGGTCCTAAGAACTAAAAACAGCAGCCTGAATGGTCAAGGAAATTCCTGATGAAGATAAATGGCATCTTCGGTCTTTTTGGCCAACCGAGGTTGTAGGCTCCTTCTCACTCTGCAGGACAAGTGGCTCTTGTGTAAGTGTGTATGTAGTAGAGGAATACTGGTGAATTAACCATTAGGAAGGATTGTGTCCAGAGGGACCGTGGGTGCTTCTGGGGTGCTGGTAAGATTGTTTCTTGATCTGAATGCTGATTACATGGATAAGTTCTGTTTCTGAGAAATCAACATGTTTGCAATTTATGGTGTGTGCACCTGATTTGTATATATGTTAAACATCAATAAAAAGGAGAAATAGAGAAAGTATTATGTTCCCATTCTACTGAAATTTCTTCTTTTTTTTTTTCTCTTTAGCTTCGATCCTCAGCACCAGGGGAGTGCCACCAGGTTATGAAGAACCTCCAGGCCCACTATGAAGACTTCCTGCAGGATAGCCGTGACTCTCTGCTCTTCTCAGTGGCTGATCGTTTGCGCTTGGAAGAGGAGGTGGAGGCTTGTAAAACCCACTTCCAGCACCTGATGAAGTCCATAGAGAATGGTGTGTGCCTTGGGAAAAGGGAGAGGAGTGGTGGATTGAGAGCCCTGAAGGGTGCTACTAGACCTTCATGGAGACTAGAAAGTACCACCTTTTTACCATTTGAGTGGGTCAAAACTTGAGATAGGGAAAAACTTACAGAGATGAATTCTCAAAATCAGATCATGGACGAAGAGGCCCTATTTCACTCATTATTGCTAGTCAACGTGTCACGTTTTCTTGTGGACATGTTTAGATCCTTAAAGATGAGTATATAATGCAGGGAATTTAGGATCAGGCGAAAGGTTCCCCCCATATAAGGCCTTGCTTTCATTTGTGGAATATCAGGTGTGCTGCCCTCTATCCAAGGGTGAATCTGTTCTCAGGTTTGTTGATCTCTGTTGTGGTGCTTAATGGTATCCTGTGCTTGTGCATTTTACAGAGGACAAAGAGGAAACTGTGGCCAAGATGTACATTTCAGAGCTGCAGAATATCCGACTACACCTGGAGGAGTGTGAACAGCGGCTGGTCAGACGAATTCAGTCTCCAGCCAGTTCCAGGACTGACAAAGATGCCCGGCAGGACAATGCATTAAGGATCGCAGAGCAAGAGGTAAGCCTGAAGAGCAGGGTGGGTGCTGGCTGCAGTGTAAATGCTTTCAGAGTGAATTGGATGGCAAGACAATATGGAGCTTAAGAAATAAGGCAGTAGACTCATGGCATTCCTACTTGAGAATTCTTCCTTGCAGGCTGCAGATGCCTTCTATCTATGGCAAAGCATGATTTCAGCTCCCACTGTGTTGCTGACTGTTGATTAGTTTTCTGCACAGCTGGGAAGGCAAACAGACTGGCACATTGCTCTAAGCACTGCATTTGGGCTACATGTTTTAAGACGACTTATCAGAGATGCTGCTTTCTGCTCTATCCCTGATGTGCATGTGTTACTTTCTGTGACATGGTTGCTGTCAGCAATAGGATACAAAAAAATATTAAGGAAAGACTCAGATTCTACTCTAGGCTCTTATGCACACTTGACTTTTAGCAAGTTAACTCTCATCTCAGTTTCCTTTCTTAAAAAATGGAGATAATGCATGAGTCCAAACTGTATCACTTCCTAAATTTTGGAAAACTTCTGGAAGTTAAGTGATATAGTATATATAATGAGTTTCCTGGAAAAGTGAAATGCCATCAAAATGTAGAGTAGTATTTTTGAAGTAAAAGCAAATATTAATGGCTTTGTTACGTGCTTATAGGCATGTAAAGAGAGTAAGCCAAAGTCCTCACTTTTGGCTTTTGCTGTACTTCAGGATAAAATGTTGAAGTCACAATTAGGACCTTTAGTTTAAGAGATATCATAAGATAGTACCATTGGTATTTGCAGGTTTAGAAGCAAACATTGCTATAGAAATTTAGAGTATTGCTAAACCATTTCTACTTGGGACCATAGGAGAGAGCTCTATGAAGAATAGTAGATTGATCTGGGAGCTTAAAGGAATGGAACGGACTGGCTAAATTAGGAGGAGTAATTTTTCTTACCTTCCTCAGTTATTCCTAAGCTCGAAGAAGAGGATGAGAGGGCAGCATAATTTTGTTTGATCATATAAACCTATAATTTTCATACTGAAACTTTAGTTTTCTGTAGTCATCTGAAATCTGTTTGTCCCAGCAAAATAGAACATTCAAGAAATGTTCATATTCAGCTCTTCTGAAGGACTTTCTTTTTTTTGGATTAACTTTTTATTTTGAAGTAGTTTCAGTATACAGAAAATTTTTTATTGTCATATAGCCTTCACCTAGATCCCACAAATGTTGACATTTTTCTCTATTTGCGCTATCATTTTTTCTATAAATGTACATTATAATCTTTTTCTTTTCTTGAGAGTGAGTTCTGTACATGATGCTCTTTTATCCCTAAATACTTTAGTGTGCATTTCCAAAAATGAAGGGTAGTCTCTCTTTTTTTTAAGGGTTTATTAATTTATTTGAGAGAGAGAGAGATAACATGCATGTGCAAATTGGGGGGAGGGGCAGAGAGAGAGGGAGAGAGAGAATTTCAAACAGATTCCCCCTGCTGAGTGCAGAGCCCAACATGGGGCTTGATCTCAGGACCCTGAGATCATGACCTGAGCTGAAATTGAGAGTTGGCTGCTTAAAGGACTGAGCCACCCAGGCGCCCCAGGGGTAGTCTCTTATGTAACCAGAGGACAATGATTAAAATCAGGAAATGAACATTGATATAATGCTGTTATCTAAGACTTCATTAAAATTTCATCAGTTGACCAAATAATGCCTTTTTTGGGTATGCCCCCGCCCCCCCCCACCACCAAAGAATGTGGGTTTTTTTTTTTAAAGATTTTATTTATTTATTTGAGAGAGAGAGAATGAGAGAAAGAGCATGAGAGGGGGGAGGGTCAGAGGGAGAAGAGACTCTCCACTGAGCAGGGAGCCTGAGGTGGGACTTTGCTGCACACATCCCTGGAGTCCCAGGATCATGACCTGAACCGAAGGCAAGTCGCTTCACCAACTGAGCCACCAGTCGCCCCACACCAAAGAATATTTTTAGGACAGGACTCAATCCAGTACTTAGTCACACATTGTGTTTAGTTGCTACGTCTCTTTAAATTTCCTTAACCTGAAACAATTTCTCAATTTTTCATCATCTTTCATGCCCCTAACATTTGTGAAGAGTGCAGGTCATTTATTTTGTAGAATGTTCCTTTATTTGTGTTTATCTGAGGGTTCTCCATGATTAGATATAGGTTACATGTTTTTGGCAGGAATACTACAGAAATGATTTTGTGTCCTCAATGCATGATATCAGGAGGCATGTGATGTTGATTTGTCCCATTACTGGTGATAACTTGTATCGCTTGTTGCTCTTTTCCCCTTTGTAATTACTAAGCATATTGTGGGGAGGTACTTTGAGACTATGTAAATATCCTGTTTTATATCACACCTTCACCAACTATTTTAGCATTTCGTGTTGATTCTTGACTGAATTAATTGGTATCACTGTTGCCAAAAGGTGATTTTCTAATTCTGCTATTCCTTTTACATTACATTATTCCTATTTAATATTTACATTATTACTATTACATTATAATAGAATAAATTTCTATTCTATCTAAAGGGAAGAGCTTGCCTCCCTTCCTCCTTTCTTCCTTCTTTAGGTCGGTATGGACTTACAGATTCTTATGTTATTTAAGGTTTATACATTGTTATTGTCTTTATTTTGATACTCAGAATTTCCCAAATTTAGCCATTGGGAGTCCCTTCAAGTTGGCATCTATGTCATTTTAACCTGTTCCCACCATTCTTTGAGTGCTTTCTTATTTCTCAACAAAACAAAATATTCCAGGTTCATCTGGCCTTTGCCAGCCCAACCTCTGTAATGAGCCATTTCTCCAAGGAGTCCCACTTCCTTTAGATGGAGAATACTATTTAGAAACCAAGATCTGGGTGCTGAGTGTGCTCATTATTATTGGGGTGTCATTGTTACTAGGTCTGCTCAGCCGATAGAACTAGAAAAATACATACTTACAAACACGGATATGCATACACACATACGAAAACACCCCTATGTCACATACACACATTTATATACATACATATATGTGTATATATGTGTAATTATATTCATATGGGAATGTATCACAAAGGTGATATATTGATATCAACATATTTATCAATCTCTCACATGCACACACACACGCACACACACACACAGACATAAGTATGAATTCATATGCATCTATCTTCATCTGGTTCCAAACTAGCACCACAGGGTTCATTCTAACTTCTCTTCTTTTCATATTTGTAACTCCCTTCCCCAAGACTGAAAAACCAACTTTACATTATCCTCAGTAAATTTACTTACTGCTCAGTTCTAGCGTGAAGAGATAAGTAGTTTTAGAATTGCTGACTCGTGTTACTACAAAAAAACTAGACCTACTAACTGGAGTTCAACATTTATTTCTGGTTCCTTTTGTCTTTAACCTATAGTCCAAATACTGTGTTCAGAAAATACTTGTGTGTGTGTGTGTGTCCTTCCCATCCTCCCCCTTCAGTGCTGTTTCATTGTTTATTCAACTAGTCTTTTATATGTGGGCATTTACGTTGTTTGCAGTATTTGCTTATTACAAACAAGAACGTCTTTCTAATTTCTTTGTTCAATTCTGTCTCCATCTTTGTTGTGTATCTTGTTCCTGACAGCGCACCCAAGAGGATTTGCAGCAACTGAGGTCAGAGTTTGATGCTGTTTCCACGAAATGCAACAGCTTTCTGCATCAGTCTCCATCTGGTTCAAGTGTCCCAACTCTGCGCTCAGAACTCAATCTGCTGGTGGAAAAAATGGACCATGTGTATGGTCTGTCCACTGTCTATCTGAATAAGTGAGTAAGCTGAGGATTTGGATCCAAAGGACAGTGTTTTCACTGGGGTGAGAAGGGGAAATGCCTGGAGTGTTTCATGAACAATCCAGAGAGGTTGTAGGTCTTGAAGAGCATGTGCTCATGAAGAGAGACTTTGGCTTTACTTCCAGGCAACATTGAGTGGGTTCATTGGGGTGCAGCGAAGAAATGCCAGTGATACAGAAAGGGAGATGGATTTGCAGTGTTAGGACTATTTCGTACCTCATTTCTGTTTGTTTAGATACCTCTGAAAAAAGAAAAAGGGACGCTAAAGAATAAAAATAAAAATTTTCAGTTGAACTAAATATAGTCTTTGAAGGTTTTCCCTCTACCCACCATGACCATGAATGAGGGGTCACCGATCTTAGACTTTTCATAGTGTTGAGTGGGTTTCTGGCCTCATGTTGTTTCTCCTATGAGTCCACCACATGTGTATGTGTGTCCCAGTATCACTAAGAACTTTATTTTGAATTGGTTTAAATTGGCAACATGTATGCCATGCTTTCTTGTTTTTATGAAACCCTGTCATCATCTAGTAATGGTAAAACTGATTTTAGCAGTTACGTTTGGGAACCTCTCTGTAGCACTCCAATTCTGTGGCTCAGCTCTTAAAATGTGTGTGTTAACGTAGGTGATTTTACCCTCATAGGCTAAAGACAATCGATGTTATAGTGCGTAGCATCCAGGACGCTGAACTCTTGGTCAAAGGTTATGAAATCAAGCTGAGTCAAGAAGAAGCAGTACCAGCAGATCTCTCAGTTCTGGAGTCCCATCGGTCTACATTACGGGTTGGTTGCTCTGAGTTTCTGAGTTTCGTAGGAGCTTGATTTAACATATCCATTGCTTTGGATTAGGAGAGAAATGCAATTTTGGATGGCATGACAGTGTTTTAAGTTTGCATTTGAACTAGGCAGAATATCATATTTAATATATTTTAACGTGGATTCAAAGAAGCTGGGACTGAGAAATATGTCTAGCTGGAAAGGGAAAGTAGAGGACTATGCCTTTCTATTTATCTTCTCCCTTTTCTCCCCAGTAAAATCACAGCTAAATCAGATACAATCATGATGGTACTGTAAGTTTGTAAATCACTTAGCTATTATCTCATTGATTCTCACAGAACTGTGAGGTGGATAGGGAAGAGATTTTAATCTCCATTCACAGATGAGCACACTGAGTTTCAGATTGGCTAAACAATTTATCTTGGTTTCATAGCTTATAAGTGGGAGAGCCAGGTTTCATCTTTGCACATTTCTCTGTACTGTACCGCCTGTCCTTGGCCTCCCAGTGAGCATTGTGGAGGTGTTTCTCGCACAAACACTAGAAGATCTAGCTTCTGAATTCCAGATCTAATGTGGAGCCAGCTATAAACATGTCCTTTTTAGCATGGAACATATTTAACCTGTGCCTGTGTTTATATAGCACTGGCTTAGTGATGTGAAAGACAAGAGTTCAGTGTTTTCAGTCCTGGATGAGGAAATTGCCAAGGCCAAGCAAGTGGCAGAGCAGCTGAGTCGTCTGACCCCAGAGCGAAACCTGGATTTGGAGCGCTACCAGGACAAAGGCTCCCAGCTGCAGGACCGTTGGCACCGGGTCATTGTCCAGCTGGAGACCCGGTGAGTGGCGGCCTCACCCTTTTTCCGTATTCAGGGACTAGGTTTTAAACAGAAATTGAATTATATCTGTGTATTCTTATTTAAAGGCAGGAAGTGATAGACAAGGGTACAAAGTGAGTGACCATATGAATTCTGGATGAGAGAAGGGACAGAAAATTGGCACCACCAACACCAAAGCAGACCTGAGGCTTGCTTTTGGATCAGCAGGGATGGTCCTGTGAGCTATGCTTCTCCTGTTCTAGTTTTTATCTAGTTAAGCCATGATGCCAAGGAATCCAACTGTGAGCCATTTTTCATAGTGTAGCTTTGCAGAATTTCTTCCACTTTCATTTGCTAATTCAGTTTTAATTTCTGTTACTTGAACTCCCTCTTCTGATGTCTGATTTGAGTAGGAAAGATAGAAAATGACCTTTCTGAGGCTAGGCTGGGTAGGCAAATATATAGAGAGAGGAGTTCTAGCAACTCCTAAGTTTGGATTGATTCTCTATAATTGAATTACTATCCCAAGTCTAGCTAGACTAACGAAAGTGATATAAGAAACTATTACCGAAGTTAACAGAAAATAACTACTACTTTAACCCAAAAAATTACAGCGCTCCCTAAATCATAACTGGGGTACTCTGTCATCAGGGAACCAAAGTATACAGCCAGTACTACCTTATTGACAACCCGGGTGATCCTTGGCAACCTAGGTAAAAATTTGACAAGGATCATCATGGGATGCTGGGCTCCCAGGCAGTTTCCAAGGCTAGCTTGCACAACTGCTTTCTACTCACCTTCACCCCACAGGGCACTGGGTTCAAGCATAGGTCTTGGCATGGCACTGCCCTTCCACAGAAAAAAGATGTATCCTCTGTGATCAAGCCCAGCTAGAGAAAGGGACTAAGGAGGGAGTTGCGCCATTTATTTTATTGTTTGTACCAAGGTATCTGATGGCAGTTTCTTTTCCTTTGCTCCTCCAGCCAGTCTGAGCTAGAAAGTATCCAGGAAGTTCTGGGAGATTACAGAGCCTGCCATGGAACTCTCATCAAATGGATTGAGGAAACCACTGCCCAGCAGGAAATGATGAAGCCAGGCCAGGCAGAGGATAGCAGAGTGCTGTCGGAGCAGCTCAGCCAGCAGACGGTGGGTGTGACAGCAGCGTGGTGAAAGTTGGCGGGAGGGCGTGGGGCTTAATTCATCATAAAAGAAGATGATGGACTAGCTATTAAGCTTCCCCCAAATGGTAAGACATTCTGAGCCTCCTCTTCTGAAAAGAGTTCAAGCAGAATGGTCTCAAGATGATACGGGTTTTGCATTTGGGCCAGACAGACTCGTAAGGTCCCTTCCAATCCCAAGTTGTAGTGACTGTATACTGAAACCATAGGTGGACAGATTAAAATGATCTTGCTTCACTTTGTTTCTTGATACTCCATGTGATCTTACTAGGATTAGAAGCCAGGGCATTAAAAACCAGGAAAGATGTGAATGGACAAAAATTATTTGAAGTGGTTTTTACTTGTTAGCATTTTGGGGATTTTGTGTGTGTGTGTGTGTGTGGCTTGTTTTGTGTAGCATTACAGTTTAGAGTATGAAGTCTGGTGTTAGATTGCTTGGATTCCAGTCCTGGCTCACTCACTCACTATGAGACCTTGACCAAATTCCTTAACCTCTCAGTATTCTACTTCCTCATCAATAAAGTGGGTATATTACATTATTTGTTCAAACTCCCTCACTCATAAGGTTATTATTGTTGAGGTCAAATGAAGTGACACATGTAAAATATGCAGAACGGTGGTTTCTGAAGTGTGGACTCCAGACTAGTAGCATGAGCATTACCTGGGAGTTTGTTCGAAATGCAAGTTCTCAGCCCTACCCAAACCTACCGAATCAGAAACTCCGGAGGTGTGGGGCCCAGCAGTCTGTATTTTATTCAGCCTTGCAGGTGATTCTGATGTAGCTAAGATTTGAATACTGCCTTAGAATATAATAAATGCTCAGCAGTTTTGACGACAGTAGGGACAATGATAATGTTGTTGTGATACTTTGGTTTCTAGGATCTGTTTGCAGAAATCGAGAAGAATCAGACAAAGCTGGACCAGTGTCAAAAATTTTCTCAGCAATACTCCACTATTGTAAAGGTAACTCTAGCATATCCCCAAAGGCACATAAAGGATCTCCAGCATGGGAAGATCTTCCTTGTCACTGTAGGTTTTGTTTCTGGACAAATAAGTGCTTCTACTAGAGGCTGGCCCCATCTTCTAGTTAATGCAGATGTGTACTCTTCATGGCCCTACATTTGGGAATGCTCAGAGTGGTACCAGACATCAGCTCTGATTCAAGGAGTCACCCTTTGGATGATCCACAGGTTTTTTAAACTTGCCGTATCAGAAACAGAATGTATTGGATTTCCTCTCAAATATACTTCTCATTGTCTTGCCTGTTCCAGGAAATAGTGTCCCATTTTCCTACTTGCTGAAGCAAAAAACCTGAGAGTCATCCTTAATTCTTCTCTTTGCCATAAACTTTATGTTCAGTCTGTGAACAACTTGGCTCCATCTTCCAGTATGTCCTTGGTCTGTCTTTTGTAAGCCACCCACCTGCCCCCATTTCCCTGTTTTCCACCTAAGTAAGGAATTTCCATAGACTATTCTAATACCTCTGAGCTGATCTCTTGCTTCTACTCCTGTCCCACAGGCTATTTTCCCACACAGTAGCCAGATTCACCTTTTTAGAATATACTGCGTGTCACTGATTCTCAGACATCATTTTATACACTACTAAAAAAGAGGAAACTCTGCCAATTATGCAAATACCATTGATTGTAAGACTTATTCTAGTTTTAGAGAGCCTAAAATGTGGAGGAAATATGCATCTCATAATAGTTGAAATATGGTAAATTGAATCATGTCACTCTTCTGCTCAGAACTGTTCAGTGACTTCATATCCTATTCATAATAAAATTCTAAAGCTGTTTATGGCTTTTGAGGCCCTGCATGATCTGGTCCCCCCTCCCTGTTTATCTGATAACATCTTTAAATAAAAATGACCTGAGATGATTATTTATTGTGTTCCTTCCTATTAGAATGTAAGTTCCAAGGGAGCAAGGTTTTTTTCTAACTTTTTTTTCCACTATATGTAGAGCACTCAGAACAATGACAGGTACATAGTAGATGCTCAACAAATACTTTTTGAATGAATGCATTTCTTTAGTTAATAACAGAAGACTTGGTATCACGAAGAATTGAGTTCAAATCCTAGCTTCACCACTTTCCAGGCTTAGGACTTTGAGCAAGTTTCTTAGCCTCTCAGAGTGTCTGTTGCTATATCTACAAAATGGGAACAGTAACTACCTCACTGAGTGATTGTCAACATTACATGAGATAATGTATACATAGGACATTGCGTCAAACAAAATACATTCAGTAAATGGTAGCACCTGTTATTATTATTATTACTTTTTTATTACTACTACTGTTTTTTAATTTTTTTTTTAAAGATTCCATTTATTTATTTGAGAGAGAGAGAGGGAGGGAGTGAGTGAGAGAGCACGAGCGGGGGGAGGGACAAAGGGAGAGGGAAAGGCAGACTCCCCTGCTGAATAGGGAGCCCGATGTGGGGCTCGATCCCAGGACCCTGGGATCATGACCTGAGCCAAAGGCAGACATGTACCAACTGAGCCACCCAGGCCTCCCAGGGAGAGGGAGTTTTAGGCAGACTCCACACTGAGCACAGAGCCCGATGTAGGGCTCATTCTCACGACCCCGAGATCACTACCTAAGCTGAAACCAAGAGTCGGACACTTAACCGACTGAGCCACCCAGGTGCCCCACTACTACTATTTTTTTTATAGGCTGCTTAAGGAACTCATTGTGTTTTTTTCCTTCTGCCTAGAGTTTTCTAAGTAGACAACAGAAAGCAAGACATTTTAGGCAAAGAGAACTGCCTAATCAAAGGCACAGAGGAATGGAAATATAATGATCATATGAGGAAATAGCAGATATGCTGGCGTAGCTAGAAGGTGTATGATACATAAGAAGCAGTGACTGTGGAAAAGGAGAAGGGGAGGTTGAGGCCCACCTATGAAAGGCTATGTCCAGGTCTCTTCACTTTACCTTCTATTCTTGTTCCTCAACATGGGGTGTTAGAACTAGGAGCATCAGAATCATCTGGGAGCTTGTCAGAAATGCAGAATCTTCCACCTGCCAAATCAGAATTTCAATTTCAGTAAGATCCCCAGATGATTTGTGTGCATGTTGGTATTTGAGAAGCTCTGCTCTAGATCTTTGTAAGCTTTCAAACAGAGGAACGAAGTGGTCATCTTTATGTTTTAGAAAAGTTATTCTCGTGGCAGGATAGAAAATAAATTAGGAAGAGAACAAAGCAGGAGAGTAGTAAGAGGCTCTTGGGCCCGTCCACATGGGCATGAAGAGGGCCTGGCCCAGGGGGGCAGTCTCAGGATTACAGAGGGAGTGTTAGCATAGCACGGGGACATGAGACAAGCACTGGTTTAGGATGACTCTGTTGCTCCCCCACTGACTAATCAGGGAAAAGCACTTCCTGTCTCTGGGCTTCAGTTTCCCAATGGATGAGATGAAAAGGATGGTCAGCAAACAGCAAAGTGCAGACTCAAGACTCAGCAAACTATGACCCACAGGCTTAACTGAGCCCACATACCTGTTTTTCCATGGCCCATGAGAAATGGCTTAAAAAAAAAAAAGTCAAAAGAAGAAGAACACTTCATGACACACGAAAATTCTATGAACTTCAACTTTCAGTGTCCATACATGACGTTGTATCATAACACAGTCTTACCCTTTCATTTACTGATTATCTCCAGCTTCTTTCACTTACAAAGGTAGAGTTGAGCAGCTATGACAGATCGTATAGCCTGATAGTTTCCATCTGGCCCTTTAAGGAAAAAGTTTGCTAACCACTGGTTTAAATGAACCCCAAAATGCTTTCCAGCAATGAAGTACTATGATTCTGTTGCGTGAGTTACCTGAGTTAACGGGAGCTGTAAAGCCCTATGTAAATGTAGTGAACTTTCTTCCTCCCCCAGGACTATGAATTGCAACTGATGACGTACAAGGCCTTTGTGGAATCACAGCAGAAATCCCCTGGCAAGCGCCGTCGGATGCTTTCCTCCTCAGATGCCATCACGCAAGAGGTGAAAGGGCGGGGAAAGGTCACGCCACTCTCTTCCCTTAAAGAAAGATTTGTTTGTCGGGGCCCTGACAGTTTGATTTAGGGCTCACCTTTCTGTGGAGCATGTGATTTCATGAAAACTTCCTCTTATTTTCAACTATTTAAATATACTTTTCTGGCAGCTAATTTATCTAAATTGTTTTTTTGTTACTGTTGTTTTTTGTTTGTTTGTTTTTTTGAACCATAGTTCATGGACTTAAGAACTCGCTACACAGCGCTGGTGACCTTAACCACCCAGCATGTAAAATATATCAGTGATGCACTCCGGCGACTGGAGGAGGAGGAGGTGAGGACAGCTGGGTCCTAAATTATTTTGAAAATAGAATTAAAAATCCCGGGTCTCATCTGTCAAAATTTAAAGCGCACATACAGCCCCTTCTCCTTAGTCACGGTAGTTGTGTTCTGTGACGCTGCTCTGCACGCTGCGCTAGGGAATGCTGGGCTCTTGCACTTAGGGGGAAATACAGGGCTAGGTTCCTGTAAGCCTCTGATCACACATTTCTGTCAACAAATAACACATAATCTTTTTATATTTAATATACTCTGTTGATTCAGGCCAAGAGCACTCTAACTCACACCTGAATGAAGTTAATTTGACATACATTTTCTCTGTAAGGCACGTCACAGCCTTCTTATGCTTAGGAACATAAGACAGCACTTCAAAACTATGGTTAGGTCTATTTTAAACAGTGAAATCACCAAAGAAAATTGTGAAAAACATGGCACTAAATAGACTGTGAAAAGGACACTTGCTGGGGGGGGGGGGTTGGCCTGGTGATGGGTATTAAGGAGGGCACGTTCTGCATGGAGCACTGAGTGTTACACGTAAACAATGAATCATGGAACACTACATCAAAAACTAATGATGTAATGTATGGTGATCAACATAACAAATAATTTTTAAAAAAGGGACACTTGTTAAGAGCTGAAACAAGAAGGTAGAGTGTCCCCTTGTTCTACCTCAGCTGGGAACATCGGGCATATCTGGGAATGACTGCGAAAATGCCACCAGTATTGATTTGGGGCTTATAAATAAATTCTAGTGAGCAGACAAATTCACAAAAATGGAATTCATGAATAATGGGGATTAATTCTATTATGTCCAACAATCCCACCTTCAAGTATCTTCATTATAGAAATATTGTAAGTGTGAAGAAAGGAAACATGAGCAAAGATCCTTAATAAAACATAATTTATTAAAGAGAAATAATGAAAACATACAAATTCCATACAATGGAATGCTATGAAACTGTTAAAAACAATGAAATAGATTTATTATATATTGTGTTCTTATAATAAAATAAGCTAGAGAAAAGAAGGTGTTAAGAATACCATGAGGAGGGCGCCTGGGTGGCTCAGTTGGTTAAGCGACTGCCTTCGGCTCAGGTCATGATCCTGGAGTCCCAGGATCGAGTCCCGCATCGGGCTCCTTGCTCGGCAGAGAGCCTGCTTCTCCCTCTGACCCTCCCCCCTCTCATGTGCTCTCTGTCTCTCTCATTCTCTCTGTCTCAAATAAATAAATAAAAATCTTAAAAAAAAAAAAAAAATTAAAAAAAAAAGAATACTATGAGGAAGAAAAAATGCATTCACAGTGCTGTACTGTATTTCTTGAAAAAAACTCATGTGTGAGTGGAGCTGAGCAGTTCAAACCCCACTGTTCAAAGATGAGCAGTACACCAAATTTCTGGGGAAATAAGATTAAAGGGACATACATTACGCATTTCAGATTATTTGAATTTGTTGTAATGAGTATATAGTCTTTTTGTAATTCTAAAAAATTTCTGTCTTTTCAAAAAAGTTTCTGCAAGTTCACCTACTTCTATAAAAGAAATGCTGTTGGAAACATTAACTCACACCAATTTTTGTCTGTGTGAATTAGCAAAAAACTTTATGTCAACAGCTACCTCACTTAGTCTCTGTAGATTTCACTCTCTTTACCTGTACATCTAAGAATCATGAAAATACGATGGTATACATAAAGGGTTTTTAAAAATCAGTAAATAAAAAAATAAATAAAAATCAGTAAATAATTACTGAACATCCTTCATATATTAAAAAAAGTTCTTTTTTTTTTAGAAAGGTGCTAACCTAGATCTGATGAATTTAGCTACTGGTATCATACAGTTAGGTACCTGTGAACAATGCTCTAAACTGGGTGAATTATATTTATCTTGGGGTTATTTTAGCTTCCTATTGATTTAAATAACTTTCATATCTTTATTTTAGGAAATCAGAAGTCAAGCCAGTTTAATAAGGCATTGACCAAGATACTGATTTTCTAATTCCTATTCTAGAAAGTTGTAGAAGAGGAAAAACAGGAGCATGTGGAGAAAGTTAAAGAACTTTTGGGCTGGGTATCTACCCTGGCAAGGAACACACAAAGCAAAGCTACCTCATCCCAGACCAAAGAATCAACAGACATTGAAAAAGCTATTTTAGATCAGCAGGTAAGTAGAAGGTCCATCTGTCTCTTGTTGGGTAGAATCATATGTAATAACGCAGTAGGTGGGAATAAAACAGACCACTCCAGGAATGATTATCTCAATAAATCTTAACTCCCAGGACTTAAAGAAACTTAAGAAGTCATCTTATTTGTACTTCTGCCTTCTTAATCAACTTTCTATAGTTCATTAGTAATAATAATCTGACCTAAGCTAAGTTTTTCCCTAGGATTTTTAACATGTTATTTCAAATAATTTTGATTCTTTAATTTCTTGGGTTCTGAAGCTATACTCTGTTTCTATCACGTAGGTTGTGGCAGAGGAGCTGACAACCAAGAGGAAACAAGTCTCTGAGGCCATTAAAACTTCGCAGATCTTTTTGGCCAAGCATGGTCATAAGTGAGTATTAAATGAGAGTTTATGGCACATCTAGGGGACTGAATCTACCTGACTAAAACTTAGGGTCATGGTGAGAGTTCAGGGCTGCAAGAGCCAGATTATGAAGAGCCTTGTAATTCATGCCGAAGAGTTTGCATCTTACCTTGTCGGCTATGGGGAAGGGTCTTATTCGTGATTGGATTTTGTTGATGAAGGTTTCTAGAACAGTTTTACGGATAATAGATTTTCATGGGGACAGAGTGTAGGCCTGAGAGACCAATAAGGAGGCTGTTGTGATGATACAGGTGAGAAATGATAAGGGTGGAGAAGGGCAAAGGTTCAAAAGATACTAAGGATGATGAACTTACAGTGTTTGGTGACAAATGAAAATAGTGAGCTATAACCTCCAGGTTTCTGGCTTAGGCCCCTGAGTGTATGGTGATGTCACTAACCAAGATAGGGAATATAAAAGCAGGTACGAATTGAGGGAGAAGAAGGCAGCTTTGGTTTTAGACATTATGAATGTGAAGAACCTAGAGGACATCAGAGTGGAAATACTTAGAATGTATTAAGAAGTACCTAATACATTAATTTATGCCTTAACATAGTTTCCCTAAAGTTGTCCAATGGGTAACTGTGTATGTAAATTTAGAATTAATGAGAGAAGTCTAAAGTGATATAGATCTGAGTCATCAGCATAGTAAAAACCATAAGTGGATTAGCTTCCAAGGGTTCAAGGATTCCTCTGTGCTCCTCAGCCTGTAAAGGAAGCCTTACACAAGTACAGGGAAAACTATGAGCGATACCTTAGAACCCAAGAGAGAACAGAATTCTAAAAAGAAGAAAGTAGTCAGAAGTCAAGCAAGATTGAGACTGAGAAGTTTCTATTAAATTTGGCAAATTGGAAGTTTTTGGTGACTGGTGAAAATTAGGTTAGGATGTCAGATTGAGTATGATGGGGAGTGGGGAGCACATGAGGTGAGGAAGGTAGTGATAGCAAAAATAGATTACTCTTTCAAGAAGCCTGGCCGTAGGAAAGGACAGAAATAATACAGTAAATAATTAAAGTAGAGTATATTATCAAGAAAGGTTTGTTTTGGGGCACCTGGGTAGCTCCGTCAGTTAATTGTTCTGATTCTTGATCTCAGCTCAGGTCTTGATCTTAGGGTCATGAGTTCAAGCCCCTCATTGGGCTCTGTGCTGGGTGTGGAATCCTCTTAAATTAAAAAAAAAAAAAAAGAAGACGACTTGTTTTCTTAAAAGATCAGAGGGACTTAGCTGTGTTTATGGACTGAATCTCAAGGACCAAAAGGAAAAAGAGATAAACTGAAGTAATAGGAGAGAGGTCCTGGAAGATGCAGGAAAGGATAAAATTCATCATTGAGTGGAAAGTACAACCATAGACCAGAACCAAGACAACTTTTCCTCTAAGGTTTGAGGAAAAGGAGATTAGGAAAGGTGTGGACGGAGGTAAATATGGCAGGAGTGAAGCCAGAAGGTGAGAGAATTCATGCCCATTGGTCTGCATTTCCTCTTTGAAATAGGCAGAAATGTTGTTTGCTGTGAGTTAGGGGAGCTGAGGGCAAGGGAATTAGAATTGATTAGAGCCTCTAAGAGAGTTGTCAGGAAGCTCTGAGGTCTAGTAGAAGCTGGGAACCAGTAAGATCTCCTCCACAGGGGACCCCCCTCCCGACACACACACACACACACACACACGATATACGTCACCTGCAGGCAGGAGCAGAGAAATCCTGTGGTTCGATTGATATGGGGCAGGAGTTTCATCAGATTAGCAAGGACAGAGTTCAAGGACAATAGGAGGGACCTGACTAAGATGATGGATTGTGGAGTCTGAAGTCCAAAGAGAGGATCCTAGGGAGGATTGATTAAGATTAAGAAAAAATGGGGGAGTTAGGAAGGCTTGGGAAAGCTCAGTAAGCTGATGGGAAGTTATAATAGGAATCATAGGATTCATTCTCAAGAACAATATAGAATGAGATAAGAAAGTTGTAAAATTCACCAGATTCAAGATCATGGTTACCTCTAGGGAGAAAAGTAAAAAAGAACGGGGTTGGTTACAAATGTACATTGGACTTGGAATATATCTGTAATGTCTTATTTCTATGGAAAGGTTCTAAAGTTAGGGCACTTGGCCAAAGATACAAAGGTGGTGATCCGAAGGGGCACCTGCACCCCAGTGTTTATAGCAGCAATGTCCACAATAGCCAAACTATGGAAAGAGCCCAAATGTCCATCAACAGATGAATGGATAAAGAAGATGTGGTACACACACACACACACAATGGAATATTATGCAGCCATCAAAAATTTGAAATCTTGCCATTTGCAGTGACATGGATGGAACTAGAGGGTATCATGCTAAGTGAAATAAGTCAGAGAAAGACAATTATCATATGATCTCACTGATATGTGGAATTTAAGAAACAAGGCAGAGGATCATAGGGGAAGAGAGGAAAAAATGAAACAAGATGAAACCAGAGAGGGAGACAAACCATAAGAGACTCTTAATCTTAGGAAACAAACTGAGGGCTACTGGATAGGAGGGGGTGGGGGGATGGGGTAACTGGGTGATGGACATTGGGGAGGGTATGTGTTGTAATGAGCGCTGTGTATTATATAAGACAGATGAATCACAGACCTGTATCCCTGAAACAAATAATATGTTATATGTTAATAAAAAATAAAAAATAAAGTTGGGGCACTTGGGTGGATCAGTCAGTTGAGGGTCCAACTCTTGGTTTCGGCTCAGGTCATAATCTCAGGGTCGTAAAATAGAGCCCTACATCGGGCTCCATGCTTAGCAGGGAGTCTGCTTGAGATTCTCACTCTGCTTCTCCCTCTGTCCCTCCTCCCCGCTCTCTCTCTCAAAAAATCTTTAAAAAAAAGAAAATCATCTAGGGGTGCTTGGGTGGCTCAATTGGTTAGGCGTCTGCCTTTGGCTCAGGTCATGATCCCGGGGTACTGGGATTGAGCCTCACATCAGATTACTTCTTGTGAAGCCTACTTCTCTCTTTCCCTCTGCCCCTCCCTCCCCCCTGCTCATGCTCTCTCTCTCTGTCTCACTCTCTCTCTGTCTCAAATAAATAAAATTTTAAAAAAAGAAAAAAGAAAAGGATCTAAAGTAAATCTGGTACAGTATCAAAATTTGGTAAAGCTGGATAGTTGGATAGTGAGTAAATGAGAGTTCATTTATTTTTCTCTTTTGTCTGTTTAAAATATTTTATTTTGAAAAGAGAAGCAGTATAAGAGTAAGGAAACACAACTGGAAAGATAGGGTTATAATCAGAAGTTACTATGAGACAGTAGATTCTTGAAGTTTAAAAGTTCAGAGGTAGAATAATTTTAGATGATGGCAGGATCAGAGTTTGCTGTGTGTGGGTGCAGTTCAAGTGGAGTAGAGGCCATTTGGATCAGAGCTGTTTGCATTGAGAAGGTTGCAGGACTAGAGCATAGGCTGTTAGACAGTTGGCGACATGAACATTGACATCACCAAGAACCATGACTTGATTTGAGATAGACAGGAATATCAGCCAGAAGCCAAAGTGTTCAGTGAATATGGAAGAGTGACCAGATGATCCATAGTTAACGTGACAAAGAAGAATACCATCCAAGATGGAGAAGTCATGATTTTGAAGCAATAGAGGACAGTTGGGAGAAAGGTTTTTCTCTAAAAGAGCTTCAATGTTCCATCTTCCAGGCTCTCAGAAAAAGAGAACGAACAAATATCTGAGCAGATGAATGCCCTTAATAAGGCTTACCATGACCTTTGTGATGGTTCAGCAAACCAGCTTCAGCAACTTCAGAGCCAGTTGGCCCAGCAGACAGAACAAAAGGTACTTTTAGTTTCTTTCTCCAAATGGGAAGAGTACCTTTCAAATGGTATGAAAGCAGCTTTGCTGTTTGAGAATCATGTTCACTAGCTTTCCATGACCAATGTGACTTAATTTTTAACCTCACCATAGCAGCCATTTGTCTTGTGTTTCTTTACTGGGGTTCCATGATGTATTGGTCAGTCAAGAATACTAGAAGGCACTCATGGCCAACCCTGTAGACCCTGGTTCACCATTTCTGTTGCCTGGCATTTTGTGGCAGACCACAATTGAGGAGAACATAAATCCTGTATTATATCTGATCACAGGGCAGCAAGAGTACTCCTTCATGGCATTGCCACTCAAAAATTGATAGCCAAAAGTTCTGAATATTGGGAAGAAAAAGCCGTGTCCTCTTCCCCCACACTTTTTTTCATATCTACTAAATAATGAGAAATGTTCATTTCCAAGCCAACTGGTAGATTAGCTGTACTGACTGAGACGCTGGTTCCCCTTACCCATAGTCATCCCATCATGTGACATCTTTACCAATTCCCACTCATGTTCACTTCCTGGACCATATGAAAATTGTCAAGTTCTCCTGGTTGTCCTCAGTTCTTCCTGGATACCTGTGTGTATATGTAAACTTACCATATTATATACATGTGTCTTTGGGATATATATGTGTGTTTGCCTGCTTATTTCCTATGTTGTGAAGCAATGGCCAACATATGTGGGGCAGGTCAAAATTTAAGGTCATGTGGCTATCAGATTTGGTCTAGATGATGCTCAAAATGATATTCAGACAAAACATGCTTTGACTCTGGTCCTTGGATATGAAATTGATGCATCAGGAGCTAGAGTTGTAAAGACCACAAGACAGAACCAACTATGATTTATTTGAGAGTAGGTTTCCAAAAAGAATGTGCTGGTTTAGCATTCTCCATGTAAGGTAGCCCACTTTTAATGGCTTATTGCTTCACCATAAAGGGAGTATGTGAAAAGTTTTAACAATTGCTTGCTGAGAACACCCAGTTCTCATTTTGAAAGGTTAAAAAGGGGGAGAGAAAAAAGAAAGCCAAGCTGCCAAGCACCACTACATTGAGCATGATGTGTCCCCTGTTACTGTTCGTGTGTTTCATGTGAAGTATTGTTCTGATTAACTGACATCCTTGCTTACAAGTTTCACTAACCCTTTGGAGTTTAAGCACAAATGCACAAAAGGGAAAAGAGGACGACCTGTTTGGGGTTCTTTTTTGCAAAAAAACAAACAGTCGCATGCTGGACGCTAACCCCAAGCTTACACTGTGTGTGCGATGAGGCTGAGCTGCTCCGTAAGGCTCTCTCTCTATCTGCCCAAGGCGTGCTGCGACTCTGGTAAGTAGAAGCCTTTTATGTTTCCCTTCCTACTCTCCCTCTGCCTTGCTCTGCTTGTTTAGGTCAGAATGCCCATGTTTGGTGGGACTGAACTGGATTTCTCTGGATTATTTCCCAGCTCAGTGCTTCCTGCCTGTCCTTCAATTAAGAGACTACTGGAAGGAACAGCATGTAGTCTTTTCTCTTTGTCTAGCAACTGGCCAGACTCCAGGTCTTTCTTCAATATCAGCATCTTTGAGACTCAAGGACTCTCAGAGAAGAAATTACAAGTTTTCAAAGGAATCTTTTCCTCTGTCGTCTTGTCTGCTTCTGAACCATCTTGACATGGATTTTGTAAAAGGGATTATTCATGTATCTCAGAGGCCTATGCAGTGTGATTTTCCCTTCAGTCTCTGTAGACAGCTGGTAGACTCGCGTAACATATATTTGCTTTATACAAGTTGAACTACTTTCTAGGTCAGAACACAGGAGGGGGATAGGGAACAACACGTAATATTTTAAGTAGTGTGGAGAATTCTGTTACTCCGTTATTTGAACAAATACAGTGAGATAGGGATGTGAACCAATGTGTTCCCACATTTGCCCTCCATTCTTTGTCTCTTAAAGTGTGCAACTAATTGAATTTGAAATCCTCGATGTATGTCTTTAAAATCTAGGGGCAAGCAGCTTAAGGATTTTAAATGTTTCCTTACTATTTACCAATTTATTCATTAATTCAGCAAATGTTCCTAGACACTGAATGGGTAAAGTACCTGCTCTTACAGAGCTGACTCTCACTGAGACAGAATGAAATGCATTATTTAGGAGGCAGGGAAGTGATGGGCAGTTGCTACAACAACACGCCCCATGGATAAGTTCAAGAGTTATATAAGGATCAGAAAGTAATACTGACCAAAGAGGGACAGACAAAATGATCTATAGAAAATAATGAACGTCAACAAAAAGAGGTAGGAACTTGAGAGTAATGAAAGTGTTTTAAGTGGCAAAACACTTGAATGAGTTAATTTCTGAATACCATCATTTTGTGATAAAAGGCTTCAAAATAGGAATTCTCCTAGGAGCTGTTTTTAGGTCTTTATGCAAGGGTAACTTTGGCAATGTATAAGATTTGCCTTATTTCCTGGACTTAGGACCTAACTCTTGTGTATGATGCAACTCTACTGACCCATCCTTCATGTTCTTCTGGATCTGATGGGGGAGGCAGTATAATAAGATTTAGAGTCAGACCTTGATTTGATTCTGGAACTCACTTATTTTGTGACCTTGGACGAGTTATAACCTCGCTGTGCCTCATTTTCTCATCTGCAAACTGAAGATTAAAATAATTGCTTTCGTAGGATTGTTGTGAGGATTAAATATCGGCGCTCAGTACATGTATTAAGTGCCCCACAAGTGATAGCTGTAAGCTGGTGCTTGTACTCTCCGTTATAGCCTGGACCAGAAGAAAAGTGGCTAGTGGTCCCGGAGGTAAAGGTCCCCAGTCTGTTCCTTCCTTAACTTGCTACTTCCAGTTCCCGGGACTGATTTAACTCAGGGCCATTGCCCTGGGAGGCGCTAACAGTGGCCACTGACCATGACTGCCCCAACTGTAAAACAGCTGCTTGAGTACTACACACTGGGCTGTTTCTGGAGATGCATACCTGTTGTGTGGCTACTGGCCTACTTGAATCTTTCTTCTAATCCTGTGAACTGTTCCTGCTGAACTTACTAGCACGGAAGTGCTCTTTCAAGAGTCTTCCGCATGGGTTGCTACATTGAGAAGTTGCTGTGTAGAGTTGACTTCTCACTTCTGGGGAATGGTATATTTCTAGAAGAACCTTTGTGGTGATTTAGTCTTAGAAATAGTTGACCTTTCGCTTTCACTGCTTGCCACTTTGTAGAGCTTGTCACTAAGATATGCTTAATGCTACCATCCGTCAAGTAATCTGTGAACTTCTGGCCATGTTCAACATTCTGCAGTTTAGACAAATTCTTTCTTAGTATTAATGCTGCCAGGCTTTAGAGTGTTTCTTACACATTGGGGCTCATCCCAGGCTGGGTTTTTCTTGTGGTCAGAATTTGATATACTATAGTTCTTTGAATGAATCATTTCAATAGCTGGGCTTTTCTGATTCAGTTTTCTTTTTCATTTTTTTTTAGGGTTGCAGAGCAGTTGCTGGGGTGATTGACCTAGGCACAGTGGAGATATTTCCCATCTTCAAAGCCATGCAAAAGGGCCTCATTGACCAAGACACAGGCCTTGTGCTCCTGGAATCCCAGGTTATCATGTCTGGCCTCATTGCCCCTGAGACCAGTGAAAAGCTCACTCTGGAGGAAGGTCTAGCCAGAAACCTCATTAATCCCCAGATGTACCAGCAGTTCCAAGAGCTACAGGATGCCCTGTCCTTAATAAGCAGGCTTCCTGAGAGCAAAGGCCTTCTTTCGGTGGTGGAAGCAATTGAAAAGAAAATAATCAGTGAGAGAGTTGGACTGAAAGTCTTAGAAGTTCACCTGGCAACTGGAGGTTTCAGTCTCCCCCCTAATAAAAGCTGCGTCAACCTAGAGGAGGCTTTTCACCAAGGCCTCATTTCTGCAAGGCTTCACTCACTGTTAGAGTCTTACCTGAAATCATCCAAGAATTTGATAGACCCCAACACAGCTGAGAAAGTCAGTTTGCTGGATCTGATGCAGAGATGTATTGTCCACCAGGACTCAGGGTTGAAACTGCTGCCTGTCAAGCAGCTGGCAGGGGGAATGGTGAGCTTGAAGTCAGGCCGGAAGGTTAGCATTTTCCGTGCAGTTCAGGAAGGCCTAATAGACAGACAGGTCACTGTCCGGCTGCTGGAAGCTCAGCTTTTTGCTGGTGGCATAGTGGATCCAAGAACAGGACATAGGCTTACTGTGGAAGAGGCTATAAGACATAATTTAATTGACCAAGATATGGCCTGTGCTATTCTCATAAGGCAGCTTCAGACAGGAGGCATCATAGACACCGTCACTGGACATAGGCTGACAATAGATGAAGCAGTGAACAATGATCTAGTAGCTCCTAAGATTGCCCTTGTGATTCTGGAGTCTCTTTGGTCATTCATGGGCTTGCTGTGGCCTGAATCTGGAGAAATCCTCCCAATCACAGATGCCCTGGAACAAGGTATTGTGTCTACGGAACTAGCTCATAAAATCCTTAGTGGCCGACAGCATATTAAAGCTCTGTTTCTACCAGCAAGCACAGAGGTTTGGTCCTGGAAAAAAGCAGTAGAAGATGGTATGTTGGATAAAGATCTTGTCAATAACTTAAAATCAATTTGCATACCTGATGTGATGCCCCACATGCAATTGGCAGATTCTTCAGAACGATGCAAATTAAACATTAATCCTGGAGCAGTAGGTCTGCCACGGAGCCAGAGCCGAACTGAGGGCATAGTAAGCCCTAGCGAGAAGCTGTTGTTTCAGCTGATGACTCACAGCTATATCAATGTGCGAGATGGACAGAGGCTGCTCCTTTTAGACAACGAGCTGATGGAGACACTGACAGCAAGAGGTGAATATCAAGCAAGCCCTCCAGAAGTGTTGGAAGTTGGGCATCAGAGACTAGAAACTCCTGAGGAATTACAAGAATCAGTGAATGTCAAAACCACAGAAACTTTCTGTGATGGGCTGAATGTAAGGCCATGTGAGTTCCAGCTTTCTTTTCAGAGTGAAGAATATCCTAATCAGGCAGATTGCACTGAAGCAAAAGGCAAAAGGACCACTGTAGAAATTGAAGCTTCCACTATGGAGAACCCTGAGAGAGACCTGTTTGTGGGGGAACAAAAAGTGAGAGATCCAAATGTTGATACTTTGATGGTCCCAGATACAGGCAAATCAGAGTTAAAAGGGCAATTGCTAGGCACCAAAAAGGAAGAACTAACAGGAATGTCCACCAGAGAAAATGTTAGCAGGGGATTTCTCCTTACGGTACCCACCGAGGAAGCTGAAGATGTGACCTTGGTGGCAAGCAAAGATCCTTTTCCTGTCGAGACACTGAGGGAAGAATGGCAGACTCCCGGAAAGACTTCTTTTCTGTGTCAGACAGCACGAGCAAACACACCTGAAACTGGAGGGCCACTCATAAAACCCCAAAGCAAAAGGTCACAATTTCAGGTAAAGAATACTCTAGATTTAGAATCAGAACTAAGGTCTGAAAATGACATGAATATTCATACTCTAGACAAAAAGAAAAGCTTAAATAAAACATTTTCGGATAGGGATGACCATAAACAAAATCCAGAAGGACACGACACTGTAGGCGGTAGTGTGATGACTTTAGGAAAGACAGATGTGGAAGACAGTGGTCATGAAACCTCCCTGTCATACAGTCATCCTTCAGAATTGCTCCAAGAAGCTACCTTAAATACATTATCTGCACAATTACTAGATGGTGGTATCATTCACGAGCAAACAGGTCAGAAGCTCTTACTAAATGAAGCAATAGCCCGAGGTATTGTGCCCAGTCACACTGCTGTGAAACTTATGGGAAAACTGAACATGTTCCGGGGCTTCTTTGACTCTCAGACCTGCGAGTCTTTGACCACTGAAGAGGTCATTGATGAAGGTCTGATGGATGAGAAATTATTACATAATGTCCTCATGGCAGACAAAGCCATAAGTGGCGTCTTGGACCCCCGTACCCACACACTCTGCTCTGTGAAGGAAGCAGTTACAGTTGGACTTCTTGACACACAAACAGCCTCCAGAATTTTAGAGGGGCAGGTGGTGACTGGTGGAATTGTTGACCTGAAACGAGGCAAAAAGGTTTCGGTAACTCTGGCCTCAAATCTTGGCTTGGTAGACAGTGCTGACCAGACAGAACTTATAAATCTGGAGAAAGCCTCCAAAGGCAGAGATGCTGAGAAAACAGTTAGGGAGAGATTTATTAGCTTACAAATGGAAACAACTGGAATTATGGACCCTGATAGCAGAGCTCCTTTAACAATCATGCAGTCCATTGACAGAGGACTTCTGGAGAGAGAGGAGGCTGTTCGGTTGTTGACTAAGCAGGTGGTAGATGGAGGTATCATTCACCATATATCTGGAATGAGACTTTCTGTTGATAATGCCTTTGAACATGGCATCATTGATGAAGATTTAGCCAAGCAACTCAAAAAGGTTGAGAACTTAAGCCTCTGTCAGTTTTTTCACCCTGAAACCAAGGACACTGTTTCCCTTCCTGAAGCCATAAAATTAGATCTTGTTACCCCAGACTTGAAAAGAGAAATCCAAGAAATACAGGCTTTGACTGGAAGCTTTGTGGATCTCATTTCTGGCCAGAGATTGACCTTGGCAGAAGCTGAAAAAGAAGGACTGTTAACTACTAATAAAGCAATATTGTCTTCAGGAATGATGCATGGGATTATAGATCCTGAAAGTTACAGAATTGTTCCTTATTCAGAATTAGTAAAGAAATGTAAGATTGATATTGAATCTGGACAGAGATATCTAGAAGTAATTCCCTTCTCAGACATTAAAGATGCAACAAGTGACAAAGTGCTTACATTATCCCAAGCAGCTCAGCTTAGAAAAGTGGACTTTATATCTACACTGAAGGTTCTGGAAGCTCAGGCAAATACCAGGGGAATCATAGATACTGCCACGGGGAAAAGACTGACATTGGCATCAGCTTTGGAACAGAAATTAGTAGATGAAAACATGGTAAGAATTATTGCAACTCATCAGGTATTAAATGGAGGAATTGTTGACATATTTAATGATCAGAGAGTGACTCTAAAGGAAGCTGTTGAGAAAGGATTTATCAGCCCTGAACTGGCAACTATGATCCAGGTAGATACTTTAGAGTCCTGCGATCATGGGGCTCAGATTGAAAAGCAAGATGGGATTGAAGTATGTGAAATAGAGAAGGAATTTCTAAGAAAGGAAATGTTAGTTGCTTGCAATCGGACAGCTGGAATGAGTTATGATAAAGGAGCAAGTGAGAAATTATTTGAGATTGGAAGTCAGTCTGCACAAGGAAAGGTTAAAACAAGAGTTTCTGACGGGGGGCAGGCCAAAAAGAGCAGGGAAATTTCATTAAAAGAATTGGAATACAAGGATCAAGATAAAAGGAGAACTTCTCCAGATGCTGAAGAATCTGTCAGTATCAGCATTCCTGGTGATCATAAAGATACATCGTTGGGCCAAGGTTCAGTGATACTCCCTCACCCAGAAAGTCATGATTTTAAACTCAAAGAAGCGGCTAGGGATGACTTGGGAAAAAACACAAACGAAGAGCAGGAAAACATAGAGGCACAAATGGAAATTACTTCTCATATGAAACAGTCTATATCAGGTCCAGATCCTAAAGAAATAAGAGAAAGCCAAGGAAGAATTATTTCAGAAGTGCAAGAATCAGATTATGAAACTTCAGTCAAATTGCTGAGTGAGCAGGTTATGCAGAAACCAATGAATACCAGGGAGAAAAGGAAGAGGGAGAAGAGGGAGGTGATTATAGAAGAAAGTGGCAAAACATGCAAACCAGTTCTTTCTGAAGAAAAGTTGAATCAAGAAACCACCATTGGAGCTGACCAGGGATCCAATGTAGAGATTCCACCTGTGGAAATAAGCATAAATGAAAAGGGAGAAGAAGCTGGTAAAGAATTGGGATTTATTTGTAAAGCTGAAAACTCTTCTCCAGTGATACCCAGAGGAATTTCTGTAAATCAGGATGTTTTAACATTCTTCAAACCTAATCAGGTCCATGAAGGAGAAGTAAAAACTTTGAGCCTCTCAACTTTAAAACCGGAAGAAAATTTATCTCAAATTACTGGTGGGGCCCAGAGTGAACCATTCTTTTCTACAGCCCCAAGACCTGAAGGATTATACTACCAGGAATCAGTTGGAAAGGCCCAAGTTGCAGGCAGGTCCCAAATTTCTGAATCAAACAAACCTTTCCAAGGAACCATCAGACCAGAGACCAACTCTTGTCAAGATTCCTGTGTTACTTTTAAGACCAAAGAAACCAAAGATCTGATTTGCTCATCTAATGAATATAAAGAAAGATCATACCAGGAAATACCTTTTGACTCAACAAGAATTCTTAAGTTAGAAGAAACTACAGTTTCTACAGTAGACCCAGAAGAAGTCAGTTATCTGGAATTCTCAGACAGAAAGGACTTTCATCATCAGGACAGCAGAAGTGATAGTGAAATTTGTGGAATTCTCACATCTAAAATAACAACTCAGGAAATGACTGGAGACACATTTCTAGAAATGTCAAACCCTATAGTTACAGATGTAGAAGCAGCATCTTCTAAGGGCATGGTGACTCAGGATGTTCCCAGAGTCTTAGCATCCCTTCTTCCGGAGAAACTGTTCAAAGATGGGTCTCAAAAAGAGAGGGCAGAACAACAGGATGCCACCATTAGTCCCCCTATTCCAGAGACCAGTGAAGAAAAGCCAATGCCGCTCAAATACCCTACAATAAAGATGGATGAGAAGACACCACAGGAAAAGCTCAGAGAAAGTCCTGGTGGTGAACAGATTCCCTTCATGACTACAGCTGGGGGAAGGGGAAATGAAGGTGTAAACCCAGAGCCCTCCAGAACAACTAAAGTAAGTTTCCCCGTGGTGTGTCTGTATGTACATTTTAGATGTAACTAGTTTAATGCTAAAACTCCTGACTGGATACTGAATTTACGTATGTACAATTGTGTGCATACCTACAGTTTCAGGGGACTAGATGATTCTCTAAGGTATAATTTAGTTTACCATCATCTGTTTGTTACACAGTTGTTAGGAAATTAGGCAGAATGTCTTTCTGAAATTTGCAAGGGTTTTAAGTTAGAAACTAACACTGGGGGCGCCTGGGTGGCTCAGTCATAAAGCGTCTGCCTTCGGCTCAGGTCATGATCCCAGGGTCCTGGGATCGAGTCCCACATCGGGCTCCCTGCTCGGCAGGAAGCCTGCTTCTCCCTCTCCCACTCCCCCTGCTTGTGTTCCTGCTCTCTCTCTCTCTCTCTCTCTCTGTCAAATAAATAAATAAAATCTTAAAAAAAAAAAAAAAAGGAAAAAAAAAGAAACTAACACTGGAGCTAATATGAAATACCGGGGTGATGGTACCTATAGTTGGAATAGCTTTTGGAAGTTTTGCTAAAATGATGCTTATGGATTGGTAATTATGAGCCTCTCTTCCCTGAGGAAGTTAATAAAATCACTTTTTTTGTCTATTGATTTGAGGCAACATAAGCACATGCCATGTTTTAGTTCATCTATGTGAACTAGCTCACCCTATGTGTAGTAAAAATTTGTTTGTCTCAGTGAGACAGCCTGCTTTTAAAAGCAGACTTAAAGGTGAATGTTCGATCTGAATGAGTTTTCTTTTTGGCTCCACAGAATGTATTTAACCGACAACTCTGTCTAGAACATGATGAGAAGCTGGTATCCTATCTCTCTCTATTACGTGACATTGAAATGAGGACCAAACAGATTAAACCTCTGGACCTAAACCTGGCAGAGCTACAGGACTTGCTGTGTCAGGCCAAGGTAGGTTCCCAGAGACTTCCTGCAGGCCCACCAGCTTGGAGGGAATAGAGAGTATTCAAGAAGAAAAACATGTTCAGGGGTGCCTGGGTGGCTTAGTTAGTTAAGCAATCTTACTCTTGATCTCGGTTCAGATCTTGAACTCAGGGTTGTGAGTTCAAGCCCTGTATTGGGCTCCATGCTGGGCATGGAGCCTACTGAAAAAAAGAAAAAATATATATTTATTTATTTAAAAAAATAAAGGAAAAGAAAACACCACCATTTAAAGGACCCCCCCCCAAAAAACAATAGATTAAAAAATTGGAGATCTCTGAAGAACATCAGGAAACACTGGTCTCACAAAAGACAAAGCAGAAGAGACTCAAGGGAGGAGTTGTAGCAGGAGTAAATACAGTAGGGAGACTGAGTGAGGACTAGAAGGGGCATTTAGTGCCCAGAGTCACTGGTAACCTTAATAAGAATAGTTTCAGTGGAGCTGTAGGATATCAACGAGGTTCCAGTGAGAACAAATGGGAGGTTGGAAGGTGGGAGCAATTAATGTAAATCATTCTTTCCAGAAGCTTGGTGGTGCAGGCGAGGAGAGAGGTGTAGGACACTAGCTGGAGGAGATGCACTGAAAAAAGAATGTTCTGATTGGATTTTGGGGCCGACTAGGAGGAACCAATAGAAAAGGAGAACTTGAAGTTAGGAGAGAGAAGAAATGATAATGGATGACATGAGTTCCTGAGCACATAAAATTAGACAGCTTGAGAAGGAGGAAGAGGAGCGCTTTCCCTCAACCGAGGTTAAGACTTGTCACAGGATTGCGGGCGCCTGGGTGGCTCAGTTGGTTAAGCGACTGCCTTCAGCTCAGGTCATGATCCTGGAGTCCCGGGATCGAGTCCCGCATCGGGCTCCCTGCTCGGCAGGGAGTCTGCTTCTCCCTCTGACCCTCCTCCCTCTCGTGCTCTCTGTCTCTCATTCTCTCTGTCTCAAATAAATAAATAAAAAATCTTTAAAAAAAAAAAAAAAAAAAAAAAGACTTGTCACAGGATTGGAGTCACAATGAGGACAGACTGTAGAGGTTAAGCAGTTCTCTCAATATGCGGAGTATGGCCTTGGGAGGGCATCTGAAGGGCAGGTGAGGATGATGTCCAAAACTGCCAACTTTCCCATAGCTTATTTCTGGCTCCTTTGCTGAGGATCAGAATATTGTAGACGCTGAGTTAGGAAGGCTGGGTTGGGATATTTTTCTATCTTCTCCTTTTGCCTCATTGGATTTTGGAGTGGAAGAGTTTTTTATTATTTTTTTTTTTAAGATTTTATTTATTTGAGAGAGAGCACGTGCATGAGCAGGGGGAGGCAGAGGGAGAGGAAGAAGCAGACTCCCCAGTGAGTGTGGAGCCTGACGTGGGCTCAGTCCCGAGACCGTGAGATCATGACCTGAGCCGAAGTCAGATGTTTAACCGACTGAGCCACCCAGGAGCCCAGGAAGTGTCGTTCTTTTGTTTGACTTATTTTGTGTCACATTATATAAGGCATAATGACACTCTCAAAGGGATAGCAAGTTGTATTGGATAGTGCACTACACTGAGTCAGGAAACCTGAATCCAAGTCCTGGCTCCATTGCTGAGGTGGGTGACTTTAGACAAAAATAAAATAGAATGGAATAGAATAGAATAGAACAACATCTTCAAATGCTGAGGCATTGCTTCTGTAAATCTGGTATAATAATAATATCTCTTCTGCCTACCTTGAGAATTAGTGATTGTGAGAACCAAACAAACAAATGAACATACATAAAAACATTTCATAAGCTGTAAAGCAGGTGTTGGCATGAGGTGACAGAAAACTGTGTTCACAGCTGATTATAGCAAGAGTTCTAGTCTTGATTTTGGAGGTAACTCCACTTTATCCCCCCAGGTATTAGACAGGGAGCTAAAGGATCTGTCCACCTTGGTGAATCAGGAATTAGAATGTGTCAATCAGATTATCATCAGCCAGCCTCAAGAAGTCCCTGCTCAACTGTTGAAGGCTCTAGAGAAAGATGCCAAGAATCTTCAAAAGTCCCTCAGCTCTGTGAGTGATACCTGGAGTTCCAGATTCCTCCACCTCCAGAGTGCTGTGGAAGTAAAAAAGGTTGCTTCTTTTTATTCACAAAGGCTCACAAAGTCTGGGCAGGCTTGAAGATTTCCATCATCTAATTTGCCATTTGTTTCTTAGACTAGAGTGTTAAGTCAGCACGAACAGCTAGAAGGCAGTCTTCAAGATCTGAGAGCCTGGGTTGGCAGTACCAATCTTCTTCTGAACAGCGAGGAATATAGTGAGGAAACAAACACTGACAGCCTGAAACACTGCCTCCAGCAATATGAGGTAGGCTCTCCACCCATTCTCAAGTCCGTTTTCATTGTCCTTGGAGTTACATCAATTTTATTTTCCTGCAAGGCAAACCAGAACCTGTACTTCTCTTTCTTGGGAAACCTGATTTTCCATTTTAGAAATAAAGTCTGCTCTGTTTAGTTTTTTAGGTTATCATACCCTTAGAGCTTCGGTGATTATGCTTATTTCTCCTTTCAGCTATTCTCTGAGAAAGAGTCTACAGAATGGCCTATTATTATCAACTTCATCTTGTCTTTATAACCGAGCATCTAGTATCCGTCCTTTGTTTCTAATTTTACACACACCGATTTCAGGGGACTTGTTGATCCATGATTGAGAGCATGGCTTGGCAGACTTTTTCTGTAAAGACCCAGATAGTAAATATTTTAGGCTTTGCAGGTCATACACAAATGGACCATTTCTGGAGCAGCCATTCACCTTTGCTGTTGAAACATGAAAGCAGCTATAGACAGTACATAAATGAATGTTCATGGGTGTATTACAATAAAACTTTATTTACAGAAATAGATGGCAGGCAGATTTGATTGCCAACCGCTGACCTAGAGAGATGCTTTTCTTCTTAAGCTTTAAATTAATGGATTGTTTTTATAAGTTAGTGAGAGAAAAGTAAACCCTGAGATACTCATGAGCTGAGGTATTTCTTCGCTGCCAACATTGTTCTTTGTTTTGGTTACACTTAATATAATACCAGATATTACTCCCACTGGTTTATCCACCCTCTGCTATAGATAGCACACTCCTTACATTCTTTCTAAAGTCAGAGCACAACTAAAGATGCCCTCTCCTTCTGTTCTCTCCTTTTTCCCCGGTCTTAAAAGAAGCAGACATGATTTGTCCATGGTTAGGCTTCTTGGATGCAACCCATCCCTTTTTGTCTTGCAAGAGTTGACCTGCCATCTTCATTCATGCCTTTTCCTCCAAATCTATCATTAGGCGAGTGAGTTGCAGACTTGAGAGTATTAAATAAAAGCAAGAGTGAATAAAATTCCTGTGACATAGTATATGATATAAAAACGCAGAGCACCTTATGCGTGGTTTCCTCCCTAGTTATAACTTAAATGAATGCCCTAATGGGAAGACAGCCACAGTCCAAGTCTTGTTTTCCTAATGACAGTTTCCCAAATCCATTCATCACAGATGAAGAAAGACACTTAGCTTGATGATAAATATGCAAGAAGCCCCTTCTCTCTGCTCTGCAGGATTGCTGACTACCCTCAGTTTCAGAGCAATAGGGATCTAGATTATCTTGTTTTTATTGCATCCAGTGTTAAATAGCTGATGACCACTAAATGTTTGTGGAAAAAATGCATGCTTTTAATTGTCTTAAAGCAGATAAATTCTAGTGTTAGGTAGGTATATATATGTAACTGTTATATAAGAAAGTCTGACTGTAATCTTTTACACCCTTAAAATGTGTAAGCAACATTATTTACTCTAAAAATCATGTATTAGTGAACTGCAAATAAATTGAGTACTTCCCCACTTCTGGCCTTCCAGTAACTCACTGCTGGACAAATACAAATAGATATTTGATCTAAGACTATACAATTAGGCCCATCTATCTCAGACCAGAAATTCATGATATATTTTCCAAACGTTAAAAAAAATTTTTTTATAGATACCCTGGGATTAGCAGTAGTATAATTCTATTAACATAAATCATTAAAAATTCACTGCATTTGGAGATCAGGGTCCAGTAAAGAAAACCTAATTGTAATATATGAGGAGTTTAGAGAGACCAGAAGTGAGATTTCCTGTGCTGGTTTGGCCCTAGAAATGATCAGTATCAATGATAAAAATACAGCAAATTAACCCCCCTTTATTTATGTTGACTCTTTGATTAAAACCAACAGCTTCTGCTTTGATAGAGAACCAAAAGTTTTACTTTTTTTCACTTCCTTATTTAGGATTTGAAGCCGCCTATGGCTGAAAGGAAATCTCAGCTGGATGCTCTTGCTTTTGATATTCAGTTCTTTATCTCGGAGCACGCGCAGGACCTATCCCCTCAGCAGAACCGGCAGATGCTGAGGCTTCTGAATGAACTGCAGAGGTCCTTCCAGGACCTTGTGGAGCAGACCGCAGCTCAGATGGATGCCTTGCAGGGCCATTTTCAACAAATGGAGCAGGCAGCCCAGGTCAAGGTCAGACTGAACCAGCGGCTGGGCTCACTTTGTCTTTTGGGGTATCCTCTCTATCCTTGAGATTTCTGGCCAGACTCCATCTGTCATGATTCCTGGAGCCTGCGTTGACCAGTTTTTGAAATTTCATGTCCTCTAGACCAGTTTGGTTCTGGTCTAGGAGGCAGCTATTCTGGCTGTATTTCTTGCCATGTTTTTGGTTTTATGTGTGCGTGTGAGAGAATGTGTGTGTTTACGTGTGTATGTATGTGCAAGTATTTTCCTTTTAGTAAGACTCGACCCTCACTGTGTCTCATCGTGTCTGACTTCCAAACAAAAGCTACATCCCTCGCCCTTATTTCTCCTCCTCTCTTCCTCAGCATTTTTTTGTGGGCCATTAGGAACAGTTAGGTACTCTGAGCTCTTGAGAAGAATGGTTCTGAAATGACTTTTATTCTGAAGCTTTTCACATGATTAACAGTAATATTACTTGACCGCCTTCAAACAGCCAACAACGAAATTTTTATTAGAATCGTATTAATTTTTTAGCACTTTTTAAATCATGATTAGTTTCTAGCACCTTTCTTCACACTGTGATGCCAAGTGCTCATTCAATTATGGAAAACAGGGTCTAGAACCGGGTGTTAACATTTTGAAAAGAAACCATCCTACCCCACCGTCTGTCACAACCCTCTTCTTGCAAAACTCAACATAACTGCATTGGTAGTAACATCGTAACCTAAGAATACCAAGAATGGTGCTTAGGCATTTTTGCTGTTGGAATAGTAAGTTGGAGCTCAACAAGATGATATTAGAATGTCATTATCACCAGCAATCTGTCTCAGGGTCACCTTTATTAAATATTGTGCAAAGTTGAATGGAGCTTTTTTGAGTTAGGCTCAGTGGAAATTAAGTTAGTCAATTCCGTATGTCCCCCCATTACTGCTTGTTGTTCCACCTGTATTGAAATTGAAACAAAATACTGATTCAACCCTTTAGGTTACTTTCCAAACGTGAAAATTTGCAATATCCTCACTTGGGAATGTATATAGCATGGTGTAGTCTGTGGATAATTAATGAAATAGCATTGGTCTGAGCCACTTTAAGACACAGCCCGGATCCAGGGTAGGCCCCTGAGCTGCAGCAGGTGGTAGAACTGCATGTGAACATTCTCTCTGAGCACATAATTAATTCCACAATGTTTATTAACCTTGTTATTGTCAGAAATGCTCTGCTTCTCTCTATATTTGCCCTGAATGCATGTGTATGTCTGTGTGTTAACTTGTTTGCTTTGCTTTTTTCAGATTCAGTCTGCACCCATCCTAACCCATGAAGATCCCGTTTTACAGCTGAAGAGCTCTTAGGAGTTCTCTTCCAGAGCCCTTCTATTTGTCCTAAAGAGGGGGAGAGAGGGCCAGTGTGGGCACCTGTTTGTAAGTGCAGGTGACTAAAACACCATCAGAAGGTAGAAACTGGTGGACAATGGTTCTAGAAGGATGGTCAGGAGAACACATCATGCTCAATGGCTCAATTAGGTGCTTCAGTGTCATGCAGCCGAGATGAGATTTGGAGAAAGGATCAGGCACAGAAACATATTCCCTCCCTCCCGTGGGCCTGGCTTTTGTCTTTGATATCACTTGTGGACACCTGAAGGACTGAGCCAGTTGCTATTCTTGGACAGTTTCCTTCTCAAAATAGCGAGGCCCCTAATGCCTGGCATGGAATCATTCCATTTAATGGGATCTGCATTTGTGAGACGTTTGATTTATAAAGTCAGCTCAATTATTAAGAAGCTCGATTAGCTTATGAATTATCCAGATTCTTGATTTTTTTTTTCCCTTCCTAATCCAGTCCTTCTAATTTTCTGTATTTTAACTTAGTATGTAGCATATCCTCTAGTTCTGGTGGAGGAATTGATCATAACCACTAATTTATTTATTATCACCATTACCATTTATGGATTTGAAGCATCTGCGCTCTCTGTTCTCCATTTCCAGGGCTAATAACAGCAGTCTGGCAGTGGAACTCCCAGTCAAAACCTGGGAGCATTTTCACCTGAAATTATCCCTGAATATAATCCAAACTATTGACCCAGGTCAACAGACTGTCCAAATGCAGGGAGCTTTCTGAATATGACTTCTGTGCCTTTTCCTGTTCTAGTCTCTCACCAACTCTTCCATCCTTAAGATATAACCTTTCTGTTTTACATTTCAGGGAGTTATCTTGTATTTGTAAGATGAGAATTTTTTATCATCTCTTGGCCCCTTTGCATTTCAATTAGACCCTGCAGAAACAACAAAATACCTGTCACCAGAAACTGGAGGATCTTTGCAACTGGCTAGGACAGGCAGAAAGCGCATTGGCAGGTCACCAAGGTAGAGCCACCCAGCAGGATCTCTCTGCTTTGCAGAAGAACCAGAGTGACTTGAAGGTCAGTATGAGTTAATTCGCTTTTCTCATTCCTTCAGCATATCTTTATAAAGGCTTCCTGTGTGCCAGGCACAGTGCTTCATGCTGGCAACATAACAGTAAACATCCCTGTTCTCATGAAGCGTAAAGTCTAGTGGTCAGGAGAATACATCAAGAATCTTTAATTCTTATGCTTTGTATGTTTAACAGTCAGACCCAATCCTGTCTAGGATGTTAGAAAATATTGAAGAAGTGTCACTTAAACTGAAAGTGAAGAGCATGTAGGGGTTAACACATGAAGGGGCAGAGGGAGGAGGAGAATATGCCAGGCAGAGGCCCGAGCATCTGAGCATCTGTCTTGAGGTGGGGATGGGATCAAATACAACATATTCAAGAAATGAAAGAAAGCTGGTTTAGTTGGACTGCAAAGAACAAAAGGAAGGTTAGTGAACGATGAGGTGGGACCCATACCATGCTGGGCCTTGTAGGTGCATTAAGGATAAGGAGTGGTGGATGCCTGGTTGGCTCAGTCAGTACAGCATCTGACTCTTGATCTTGGAGTTGTGAGTTCCAGCCCCATGGTGGGTATAGAGATTACTTTAAAAAAAAAAAAGGTCGGGGGGGACGCCTTGGGTGGCTCAGTCAGTTAAGCGTCTGCCTTCGGCTCAGGTCATGATCCCAGAGTCCCAGTATAGAGCCTGCTTCTCCCCCTGCTCCTCACCCTGCTCGTGTTCTCTCTCTCTCTCTCTCAAATAAATAAATAAAATCTTAAAAAAAAAAAAAGAAAATTAAGTGTTAGAATATTTCTTTTTTTTTTTTTAAGATTTTTTTATTTATTCATTCGAGACACGGAAATAGAGAGAGAGAGAGAGAACATGAGTGGAGGAGAAGCAGAGGGAGGGGGGAAGCAGGCCCCCCACCAAGCAGGGAGCCTGACGTGGGGCTTGATCCCAGGACCCTGGGATCATGACCTGAGCCGAAGGCAGACGCCTAGCCATCTGAGCCACCCAGGCACCCCAGTGTTAGAATATTTCTTAAGTAAAAAAATATCTTAGAAGTTCTTACTCGCATTGGTTTAGGCCTAAACCTTAAGCAGATAATAGTCAGGGACGCACATCTGGTGGGGTGCTGTTAGCTGTCTTTGAAGAAGTAACATTGACATCTCTGCCCTCCCTGTGTTCATGTGTTAAGGATTTACAGGACGACATTCAGAATCGGGCCACCTCATTTGCCAGTGTTGTCAAAGATATCGAAGGGTTCCTAGAAGAGAACCAGGCCAAGCTGAGCCCCCATGAGTTGACAGCTCTTCGGGAGAAGCTTCATCAGGCTAAGGAGCAGTATGAGGCTCTCCAGGAACGGACGCGGGTGGCCCAGAAGGAGCTGGAGGAAGTGGTGACCTCAGCTGTACAGCAAGAAACTGAAAAGGTGACCAGACTTCTTTGATACTTGGTGTTTTTCAAAAAAGAAAATTTTGGTACCTGGCACATGAAGAAAAGGTAATAAGGGGAAACTACCTGACAGAGAGCATCAAATCATGAAAAGGGGCTACTTCAGGAGCTGGTCTGTGAGTCAGTATTTATTTTGGGAGGAAACATCCTGAAGGACTTTAAGTCAGGAATAGTTGGTAGGAAGTTCCTATCACCCACCTCATCCCCAAAGAAAAAATATTTCTTGCTATCTGTATACTCAGTACTCTAATTGGAAAATCGTGGAAAGAACTTAGTGAAGAAGGGTAGTACCTTGGGGAGGAAAAAGCAAATGTCACATTTCTTTCTTTTTTTTTTTTTAAAGATTTTATTTATTTGCGAGAGAGAGAATGAGAGACAGAGAGCATGAGAGGGAGGAGGGTCAGAGGGAGAAGCAGACTCCCCGCAGAGCAGGGAGCCCGATGCGGGACTCGATCCCGGCACTCCGGGATCATGACCTGAGCCGAAGGCAGTCGCTTAACCAACTGAGCCACCTAGGCGCCCCAAAGCAAATGTCACATTTCAAACATGAATCTAGATTAATAATCCAAGAGCACGAGGGGGAAATATCTGGGGAGTCTTAGTGTGCCACATGCTATCCCCAAGCTGCCCCTATAGATTGGTGGGAACTGGCACTGGGATAAACCTAGGAGAAATTAAAGTCTCAAATGGTTTTCTGCATTCTCCTCGGCACTGGCAGAGTAAATTAGAATCCTTGGTCTGGCCATGGGCTCTGACACGAATGGGGGAGGTAGAAAATATAGAAAAGAGAAATAAATTACCTGAGGGGGGAATTCTGAAATATATGAAGGTATCACTTGACATAACCTGTTTAATTAGAGTACTTGAACAGTCAGAAAATGGAATTCGAGAGGCAAATTTTAGAACTCAATACTCTGATCAAAAATAATGATGTATGGTGATTAACATAATAATAATAATAATAATAATAATAATAATAATAATAATAATAAAAGAACTCAATACTGTGTCCGGCAGAAAAAGGATGGGACAAGTCTGCGATTTCCTTAGGGAAGGGCAGCTGGTAATCAAGTGTGACTGTACTGTTTCTGACCCTACCAAGTTAGGGCATCACTTCTGCACATCTAGGAAGGATTCCATGAAGCCTTGCTGGGCTGCCAGGACTAAATCATCCTTAAAGCCCCTTTAAATCCTACGTTTTGCCACCCCCACCCCTCCCATGCAATTTTTTTTTTTTTTTTGTGGGCAGCAAAGCAAGGTTTATTGAGCAGTGATGATACAAAGCTCCCGAGGAGGGAGGGGACCCAAGCAGGTTGCCCTTTTTTTTAAAGCAATGAAATATAGCCAAATCTAGAGATTATTTTAAGTAATTGTTTTTCAACAAATTTAGAAGATACTCATTCATTTTTGTGGCTGCAAAGACCGTTTATACACAGTCTTAGAGCTTCTCTTCTTTAGCAAAGAAGTCTCACCTTTTTTCTTAACCTTTGCTTGTGTAGCTGAATAACTAACACCTTCTCACTAGACTACTTCTGTGGCTTTCAGAGTAAAGCAGCTAAGGAACTGGCAGAGAACAGGAGTAAGATTGATGCTCTCCTGGACTGGGTAACTGCGGTGGGATCTGGAGGACAGATGGAGCAGCTGGCAGGAGCTAGCCTGGGGAAAGGAGCCTTTGATACCACTGATGCCCACAAGGGGGCGAGCCAGGCCCCAGAGGAACTGGACAAGCAGTGTGAGAAGATGAAGGTGAGAATGTTAGCTTGTCGTCACTCTGCTAGGCGCCTCTCTGCTGCCCTTGGCAAGTCACCGTAACCTCCTTGCCCCTAAATCCAGTAAGCACAGTAAGTACGTCTCAGTTCATGCCCTCTTTGATACCTCAGCAGCTTCGACACTGTTGAAATACTTTCTCCTTTGGTTTCCAAAGCACTACTCTGCCCCGGTAATCCTTTTTCCTTTCCTCTGGCCAGTTTGTGAGATACCGATGTGCTTCCAGGTGGCAGCCTCAGCCTCTTCTCCTCTTTCAGAATATACTTCCCTTGGGTAGTTTTATCCATTCGGGGCACTTCAGTTACTGCCTGTGCTAGAGAATTCCATGTATGTGTCTCCAGCCTAAATGCCTGTGCAGAGCATCAAACCAGTACATAAATCCATCTGCCTGTTTGTAACTTGGAATCACGAGCAGCTCAGCCTCAAAAAGTGGAGCTCCTATTTCCTATTACATCCCCCCCGCTCCCCCCCCCGCCCCATCAAACTCATTCTCCTTCTTCTACTCCCACTTTCTTGCCAGAACTAGACATCATCTGGGGCTCCTACCCCTTCCCTCACTCTCCTGTATCAAATCAGTTGTCAAATCCCCTGCTTCTTAGATCTCTTTCAGAGTCATCCCCGCTTCTCTTTCCACTGAGCTATGATTGTGGTTCGGACTACTGTCAGCTTCCATTTGAGTTGTTATGGCAGCTTCAGCTGGTGTCCTTGCCTTGTGCCTTCTACCCTCCCTTCTACACGACTAAGTGATCTTCTGAAAATTTGAGATCCTTTTTTTTTTTTTTAAAGGTTTTTATTTCTTTATTTGACACAGAGAGAGACAGTGAGAGAGGGACCACCAGCAGGGGGAGTGGGAGAGGGAGAAGCAGGCTTCCTGACATGGGGCTTGATCCCAGGACCCTGGGATCATGACCCGAGCCAAAGGCAGACGCCTAACAACTGAGCCACCCAGGCGTCCCGAAAATTCGATATCCTTGATTAACCCTTTTAATGGTTGCCTATCGCCCTCAAGAAACCATTCCTTACTATTTAGCTCTACCCATGTATTCATTATTCAGCAAATATCGAGCACCTGCTATATGTCAGGCATTGGAGATAAACCAGTGAACCAACCAGAGGAACCATCTCCTAAGATACTAACTGGCATATGCAGGCATATTTTATTGCATGATTGAAAACAATGTTTAGGGAACTTAGAAAACACATAGGTCACCTATTTTAGTAGTGATACCTTTATAGCAAAGAAAATTTGGCTTAGCTAGAATGCTTCTATTGAATGGCCTGTGTCAGTCATTGCTTTATTTTTTATTAATAGGATTTTTGCCTCTTGCATGCTACTACTGTGCTTGGAGATCCATCATAGGGTGTCCCCCAAAGCTGTGGCAGTCATAATAGCACAGAGCGGAGATGGTCCTGCTGTCACAGGACTGCTGACCAAGGAGCATCTCCATCCTAGGAAGGAGACTGCCTTACTCAGGGGTGGATGAGAATGAGGACACCTGGGGGGTATACAGATAAGCTATGGTACCGCCCCTTACTATCTCTTTGAGAAGGAAACATTTGTCACCCTAGCTTCCCTGAGATGATACTGGAAGCTGACACTATCAGGTTGCTGATACAGGTTGAAACCAGACAATGCTCTGGTAAAAATTAGGCTATTGTCCTGGTCTAGGAAGTTGCATAAACAGTATAGATAGGCAAGAACACTGACTGAACTCCCACTGTTGTCTGTTAGACTCAGGAAGAACATTTTGTTTTATTTAAAAATTTATTTATTTTTGGTGGGGGAGAGAGCTTGCACACGAGGTGGGGGAGGTGCAGAGGGAGAGGGAGAGAGAACCTCCAATAGACTCCCTGCTGAGTATGGAGTTCCACGACCCTGAGATCATGACCTGACCCGAAATCAAAAGTCAGATACTTAACTGACTGAGCCACCCAGGCGCCCCTAGACTCAGGGAGAACATTTTAAAAAACAAAACAAAACAACCACAACTCCCTAAAATAACTTACATTCCATTGAAATAGAAAAAAGGTCCATGTGTAAGCACATAGACATAGCACATATAAGTAAAAAATACAAATTACCTATGCTCCAGAAATACATCTTACTCTCACTGGAATACAAATTGTTTATTTAATGAAATAATTTTCTAAGAACTTTTCCTAGTTGGGACAGTGTTTATGGATATGTAAGTGACATATTTCACAGCTAAGTATTTGCGATCTTTATATTGTCATGTTTGGTTATCCAACTTAGTCTCCCCTTGCATTAATGTGGGCTGGCCATTTGTGCCTTCTCTTAGACTTAGAATGGTTTAGTGAAGAGAGCCAGATTCTAGTCTCAGTTTGTCCCTTAGCTGTCTGCATGACCTTAGTCAAGACATGTAACATATATAGATGTTGTCTGCGTACATTGCAGATTGTGCCCCAAATCAGTTGAGATAATACATGTGAAGTCACTTTGAAAACCCTAAGATCCTATGTGTGTCAGTTCAGCTGGGACTAGCATATGGCTAATGCTTAGAGAGTGAGAGATACTGGTGATTTTTGGAACAGCTGGAAAAGTGTCCTACTGAGATCTCTCTCTACTTCTCGCTGTAGACTTAGCCAAATTTTTGTGGTATCCTTACTGATCATCTTTTGTTTTGTGGAATTTTTTGCCAGGCCCGTCACCAAGAATTGCTTTCTCAGCAGCAAAATTTCATCCTGGCCACCCAGTCAGCTCAGGCCTTCCTGGACCAGCATGGCCACAATCTCACGCCTGAGGAAGGCCAGGTGCTACAGGACAAGCTAGGCGAGCTAAAGGGGCAGTATGCTACTTCCCTGGCCCAGTCGGAGGCAGAGCTGAAGCAGGCGCAGACACTACGGGACGAGCTGCAGAAGTTTCTGCAGGACCATCAAGAATTTGAGAACTGGCTGGAGCGGTCTGAGAGAGAGCTGGAGAACATGCACAAGGGAGGCAGCTGCCCCGAAGCCCTTCCCTCCCTGCTAAAGCGGCAGGGGAGCTTCTCGGAGGATGTCATTTCCCACAAAGGAGACTTGCGATTTGTGACTATTTCAGGACAGAAAGTCTTGGACACAGAAAACAGCTTTGAGGAAGGCAGAGAACCATCAGCCGCTGGAGCCTTAGTGAAGGGCAAGCTGAAGGATGCAACAGAAAGATACACTGCTCTCCATTCAAAGGTACCGAGAGGGTCCTGGCAGCCTCTGGGGGAATGGTCGTGGGAGCCCTCACACAACTGTGGGTGGTTTCTGGGGCTTAGGATAAGAACCTTAGGACATAGGGGCGCCTGGGTGGCTCAGTCGTTAAGCGTCTGCCTTCGGCTCAGGTCGTGATCCCAGGGTCCTGGGATCGAGCCCCACATCGGGCTCCCTGCTCGGTGGGAAGCCTGCTTCTCCCTCTCCCACTCCCCCTGCTTGTGTTCCCTCTCTCGCTGTGTCTCTGTCAAATAAATAAATAAAATCTTTAAAAAAAGAAAAGAAAAAAAAAAAAAAAGAACCTTAGGACATAGTGAGTGAGCTGAATTACATACTGACCACAGGGAGAATGTCTTTATGAGCTCTGCAAAAATGCAAAACATGGAGGCCCAGGGGCTAATGCCTGATCCCAGTAGTATCAGAGGTATGTCACTCTGGTAGGGAAGGTGGAGGTAGGTGCTCGCCTTCCTATACCCTGACCAACAGACGTGAGCTCCCAAGAGACACAGTGCAGGGGAAACTGCAACCACATTCACAGTCTTTATTCCTGCACGGAACGTCTAGGGTACATCCTTGCCTTCCTCCCTATCAAAGAACTCCCGTTAGCTCCCAAGCTGTAGAATCCAGTCAGTTCTTCTTACCTGTCTTGTGCACTTTGCCAACATCTCTAACCTAGCCAAAAGGAATACTCTGTATCTCCCAGTCCCTCCCTACCTTAGCTTGCAACCTAATGTGTCTTTCTTTGGTGGGGTTTTTTAAAAAATATTTTTATTGTTATGTTAATCACCATCTTTGGTGGTTTGTCCTACAACTCAGTCTTCGCGGGTATATAGTATAAATTTGGGATGAATACTACGGATCAAACAACAAAGGCCCCACTTGTAGAAGGTTTGCTACTCATCTGTCCCTGGAGGGCTCAGCGCTACTCTTCACTGTGGTTAGAGTGAGATCCTGTAACAAGACCAGGCTTTTCTTTGGACTATGCCTAGGAAGCCGCTGCCTTTAGCCAGACCTGGCCTAAGCCTGCTCTCCCTTTTTTCTCTGGCACAGTGTACACGATTGGGCTCTCACCTGCACGTGCTCCTAGGCCAGTACCAGCAGTTCCAGAGCTGTACTGACAGCCTGCAGGCCTGGATGCAGGCCTGTGAGGCCAATGTGGAGAAGCTCCTCTCAGATACTATTGCCTCGGACCCTGGAGTTCTGCAACAGCAGCTTGCAACGACAAAGGTATGCTGGGACACAGGCAGTTCTATCGCATGGGGTAGAGTACCCCAAATAAAGCAAATACTCACATAGCTTAAAGGCAGTGGTTGGGATGCCTTGGACAAGATCTGATTCCTAAACACTTAATTCTAACATCTGTGGGTACGGATAAATGGAAGTATTCTTTGTAGCTTTAGTAGCACTATGCTAAGTAGCTCTTGGTTCCTAGAACCAGCTTCGATTACTCAGAGGTTTTACTTTTGGCCTTTTTCATGGACAAGCAGCAGTTGCAGGAGGAATTAGCTGAGCACCAAGTACCTGTAGAAAAGCTCCAAAAAGTAGCTCATGACCTCATGGAAATTGAAGGCGAGCCAGCCCCAGACCGCAAGCATGTTCAAGAAACTACAGGTATGAAGCAGCATAACCAGAACACTCCCTTAATTCTCAGTGCATGCCACTCTTCTGTAATACATCACACTGTGTCCTCCAAGTATCTGCTGTGCAGGCTAGGGGCTGAGGACACAGGCAGCAAGAGCTTACTCTCGATGAACTTTGTTCTTGTACCATTGAAGGCCTTTGTAATCTGGTTTCAACCCCTTTCCCCAGGCATTCTGCCTTCTAGCCATGCCCCGCTTCTTTCCTTCCCCAAGTAAACTAGTCATTTCTTCATTACTTTACCCCAGAAGTTTTCCCTATGGTTTAGCTGCCAACATTTACTGAGTGCTTAGCATGTGTGATGAAATCTTGCTCAAGCTTCTAGATGTACCTGAGAGGTTGCTTCCTTTGTAAAGTCCTGGCCACCACCTCCAACCCCCAAAAGAAATAAAAGATAAGAAAGAATCATTCTTCTTTCAGGCTTCTCTAGTACATTACTCTTAGCATCAGTATAGCACTTAAAATTTTATTTTTGTGGTTAGTTGTGATGAGCCCTTTTCTGCCTGTGCTCACGTTTACAGTCTTATTTTTGTAGAAGCCAGGGACTTATCTTAATTCTCTTCGGTTCTCAGCATCCAGCACAATTTCTGGCACTTAGTAGGTGCTAAATAAATAATGCTTTGTAATTTTAGCTCAAATACAAATGCACTTTACGCTTATTCCTTCTATTTGTCTTAATGCCTGTTATTATTATAATTAACAAGTGTGATTTAAATACATTGTTTTTTAAAAGCACAACAGGAAAATAGTCTCCACTCTATTCTCATGGCCTTGATTTTCCAGATTCCATACTCAGCCGTTTTCAAAGCCTCTTGAGTAGCCTGGCTGAGCGCTCTGCTCTGCTGCAGAAGGCAATTGCCCGATCTCAGAGTGTCCAGGAAAGCCTGGAGAGCTTGTTGCAGTCCATCAGGGAAGTTGAACAAAACCTGGAGGAGGAGCAGGTGGTATCCTTGTCATTGGGCGTCATCCAGGAAGCCCTGGCCACGAACATGGTGAGACCTAGGCCCCAAGAGTTAGCATCGATGGCATACTTGCTGTGTTCCATAATTACATCATTTTGAAAAAGTATCAGGAAAAGAACTCATTTCCATGAATCTTCTAATAAGACTTAGAGATGATAACTGATCCATGTAAAGATATTTCTACCCAGTTTCTAAACCATTGTTAAGCTTGAGGAAAAGTGGCCCTGCGAAGTCATTAATGGAATGGGGTGGAGAACTAAGGGGATGGGATATTTGGTAGTCCAGAGGCTCAGTTGCAATCCCGCCCTCCTCAAGGAGGTGAGCATGTAATTATTAGATTATTCGTTCATGGCTCTGATACCCTAGGATAAGTGAACAAGGAGCTGACAGACACATTTTTTGGTGACAGAAATTGAAGCAGGACATTGCTCGGCAAAAGAGCAGCTTGGAGGCCACCCGTGAGATGGTGACGCGATTCATGGAGGCCGCAGACAACACCACGGCTGCAGTGCTGCAGGGCAAACTGGCAGAGGTGAGCCAACGCTTCCAACAGCTCTGTCTGCAGCAGCAAGAGAAGGAGAGCTCCCTGAAGAAGCTTCTGCCCCAGGCAGAGATGTTTGAACATCTTTCTGATAAGCTGCAGCAATTCATGGAAAACAAAAGCCGGATGCTAGCCTCTGGAAATCAGCCAGATCAAGATATTGCACATTTCTTCCAGCAGATCCAGGTAAGAATATATCTGCCACAGTGGCAGAACAAAGAGAAAAGAAGGGCAAGGAGGGGACCAACAATCACAGGAGTGCATAGTATGTCAGTCAGTGTACTAGAAACTTTACCTGCAATATCTTAAGGAATTATCACAACCAGGGACACCTGGGGGGCTCGGTCGGTTAAGTGTCTGCCTTCGGCTCAGGTCATGATCTCCTGGTCCTGGGATCGAGCTCCACATCGGGCTCCCTGCTCAGCGGGGAGTCTGCTTCTCCCTCTGCCCCTCCCCCCTGCTTATGCACACACTCTCACTCGCTCAAATAAATCAATAGAATCTTTAAAAAACAAAAAAGAATTATCACAACCACCCTGTAAACTAGATATTGTCCTTTAAAAAAAAAACAAACACAGCCTAGATTTACTTTTCACTTAGCTCATCATGGTCACTCAGGGATTCAAGTCGATGGGGACTTCATCCTGCCCTACGCCTTCATGACTACTGCTCCAGCAGGGAGAGGGCATTTCAAATCCATTTTCGTTTCATTAGTTAAAGCAGGTTTCACACCTGGCATTCAAGGGGGTGGAGAAATGTATTCCTACCATATACCTAGTAGGTGCAGAGTTAGAAATATTTGACGAAGAGTCTTACCTACCACGGATACAGATACATGTGCAGGAGTAGGATTGTAGGTCAGAGTATATGCCTGTACTTTGACCAAGGAGTGGCCACGTTGACTCCAGGATGGCTGCAGGTGCCCACATTGCCACCTGTAGGACCTGAACATTCCTATATCCCTGCATTGGTGTCTTGGGGTTATCCATCTATCTAACTTTTTCCATATTAAAGTAGGATCCCATGGTTTGGTTTGGTTTGCTGTCCTTTTTGGGTTTTATTTTGAGGAATTTCGAACTTACAGAAAAGTAGAAGGAATGGCACAATAAACACCAGCGTCCTTTTCACCTAGATCCCAGTGTGTCAGGATTTCACCATTTTGCATTCCCGCCAGCAGTGCACTAAAGTACCTGTTTCCCCTACAGCCTCACCAGCAGAACAGCATTTGAGTTTCTGTTAATCTGATTGATACAACATGATATTTCAGTGTGGCTTTAATTTTTATTTTTTCTCTGATGAAGTTGAGTATATTTTTATACATTTAAGGGACATTTATTTGTAAACTCTTGGTTCGTGGCCTTTACTATTTCCTGTCAGGACTTTGTGGGTTTTTTTTTTTCTTCTTCTTCTTTCAACCTACAAGAGTTCTATAGGAGGGAGGTTAGTTCTTTATATATGATATGTTGAAAATCTTTTTTCACAGTTTGTCCTTTGTCTTTGCTTATAGTGTTTTTGGTCATGTAAGAGGTTTTTAAATTTTTACATAGTAGATTTTATCACTTCTTATTGAATATGTATTTTTGAAAGTCTTTTGCCACACCCAGGTTTGAAGGAATTCACCCATGCTCGCTTCTAGAACTCGGATCGTTTCTTCCTTTCATTCTGTCTTTATATTACGTTTGAATCTTCTAACATTTTAAGTTCATTCTGAGATACAGTGCACATATGAATCCAAGTTCTTTTTCTGAACGTCTGTCTAGTTGTTCCCGATATCATTTCTTTGAAAAGTCCATCTTTTTCCCCCAATGATTTGAGAAGTCATCTTTATCAGATATAGAATGTGCATGTGGACTCAGGTCTATTTCTGGATTTTCTATTCTGCTTTGCTGGTCTGTCTGTTCATGAACCATAGCATACTATTTTTTATTCTAGAGGCTTTGTGATGTGTTCTACTATCTAGGAGGGCTAGTCTCTCTCTCTCTCTTTTTTTCTTTCAGGATTTTTCACACTGGTAACTGTACATTTATTTTTCCATGTGAACTTTAAAATCAACTTTATTAGTCGTAGGGGGACAATTGGTATTTTTATTTGGATCACGTTTTATTCACACGTGCGTATATGCACACGTACACACGTACACATATCTTTATGGGTGTCTTTCCATTTATTGAGGTCTGCTTTTATGTCTGTCAAAAATATTTTAAAGTTTTATTCATAAGGGTTTTGCATGTTTCTTGTTAGTTGGTTCTTAAAATTGTACCTTTTATGCTGCTATTGTAAATGAAGTTTTCACTCTTGATTTTTATATGTTGGTTTTATATCCTGCTACCTTATTGGATTACTTCATTGTTTAATTCATTGTATAATTGATTTTCTTGGGTTTTACAAGTATACTTTCATATAATCTGCAAATACAGTTTTACCTCCTCTTTTCCAATTTGTATGCCACAAATTGTTTTCTCTTACCTAATTGCATTGGCTAATATCTTGAATACAGTGTTAAATAATAGTGGAGAGCGTATGTTTACCCTGTTTTACAGAAGAGATAGGCTATGGAAGCTTAGAGAAATTTAATAGCTTAAGATCACACGCTAGAAGTAGCAAAGCCGTGATTGATTTTCAGGAATCTTTTTGACTCCAAAAACATCCATTCTTTTCATTCTGTCATGCTGCCTCCCAAATCATTAAACATTTGTTTAAAGGAGACAGGATTCATTTTCAATTCCTAGCTGCTCTCAGGTGGATTGGAAAAATCCTCCGTATTTATTGCTTTGATCTAGCAGTTGACCCAGTGAGCATGCCTCTTTCTTTGTTCCCTCTTTTTCTACAGATTAGGGGGAACTTGCCCCCGATTTAATATAGATATCTTTTTTTTTTTTAGAGTATATTTATTTATAATGACCAGAGGATTTAGTACATTTTCCTGTTTGCTTGACAGGAGCTCAATTCGGAAATGGAAGATCAACAGGAGAACCTGGAGACTCTCGAGAACCTGGTCACAGAACTGAGCTCCTGTGGCTTTGCCCTCGACCTATCCCAGCACCAGGACAGGGTACAGAATCTCAGAAAGGACTTCACAGAGCTACAGAAGACAGTTAAAGAAAGGTGAGTTTTCATATGCGTTGGTCAATTGGGGGAGCTAATTTTTCCTTGCTATTGAATGAAATGATTTTCTCTTCCTCCTTTAGCAGAAAAGATGGCATCAAGAAGTCTGCTACTGAGTCATAGGAGATTGGAAAGTGCCTCTTTTAGGCAAAGCTATTCAATCTACTCGGTGCTTAGTGGTTTTCTATTACTAAATCATGAATTCCTTCTCAGTAATGGGGCTCAGTTTCCCTCTGTACAATCAGTAGCCCAGGTCACCTGGACCTAACAATGAATTTGGGGCAGCAAGTAGGATTGTGGCAGGATTTGAAATAAAGAGAAAAATTGGAAGAGACTTTCCGGATGTAATTAATGGTTATATTGGTTCCCTTTCTGCTTTGGCCACATTTGAGTTGTTGTTTTAGAGGAGTGTCTGGATTCTTCTTTTAAGGGAAACATGGGAATATATGACAGGGATGGCTGATTTCATTTTATCTGCTGACTGTTGAAAAGCCATGATTCCATTAGAAAACCTCACATGGGTTTAAGAGCTTGATAAGACTTCCTCTCTTGGTTTAGCCATATATATAATCTTGATTTGGCAGGTGACTGCCTGAGGAAAGTGACTGGAGGAAAGCAGTTGCTCAAAACAACACTATAGCCTCAGGCTACTTAGTGGAGAGAAGGGGGACAGAGGCCAGGAAAGCTTGTTCTTCCTCTATACTCGGGGCCATTTACCTGTAGGAAGAACCAGGATCTCTGGCTTCAAGTTTGATAGATGTGGCCACTTCTAAAATTTAATTTTGAAATTAAATTCTCCTTTGTCCTTGGCTCATTTTACCCATTTGTGTGCTTTTTTTTTTTTTTAAAGATTTTATTTATTTATTTGAGAGAGGGAGATAGAGAACCAGCAGGGGGAGAGGGAGAAGCAGGCTCCCCACTGAACAGGGAGCCTAACCTGGGGCTCAATCCGAGGACCCTGGGATCATGACCTGAGCCAAAGGCAGATGCTTAACTGACTGAGCCACCCAGGTGCACCTAGTGTGCTTAACCTAACTTTTCTGAGCCTCTGTTTCAGCATCTTCTTTGCTAAGGGGATTAGCATTTGAATTTGGCCTTGAAAGAGTCAACTACCTAAAAAGTGACAGAGCTGGACTTGAGATCCAAAGCCTACATTCTTTCCATTGTATCATTGCACCTAAATAGCATGCTCCTTTTAGTTTCTCTCACTTTCACTTTGGCCTGGAGTAAGATTAAAGACTCCTCTCGCCAGAAATGTCCAAACAAGGGCAACAGATTCCTTAGTTTGATGCTCTCCTACATTGTATGTGGTGGTTTAGCCAAAGCTGCCGTGGAAAAGATTATGGGAAGGAAAAGGCCCTGTAAGGAAAAGATGCCTAGAGTCCCAGAATGAGTGTAGTTTTAGTTCAAGTTGACATCTTTACAAAGCTTAGTCTGGCAAGTAACAAAATGCCTTTGTTGTTGTTGACAGGGAGGAAGATGCATCATCTTGTCAGGAGCAATTGGATGAATTTCGGAAGCTGGTTAGGACCTTCCAAAAATGGCTGAAGGAAACTGAAGGGAATATTCCACCTACAGAGACTTTTATGAGTACTAAAGAGCTGGAAAAGCAGATTGAACACCTGAAGGTAGGTGAACAGAAAGAGCTCCAGGAACCAGGTTGGACAGCAGTTTGGAAGCTTGTATGGGCTGGTCTTCAACTGTGGTAAGGAAGTGGTGCGACAAATCCAAGTTATCCTTCTGCATCAGAATAGAAATCCCTCCATTTTCTTCCTGTGATTCCCACCTACCCCTACCCAAGCACTGAGCACCAAAATGTCTCCTATTTAAAAACCAAAACCAAAAAAGTAACCTGGGAATAACATCTATAAAGTTTCAGCTGTTTTTCAGATGCCTCTCATTCTGTGGTGGATCATAAAAAAGATAGTTGTTAAAGTTCAGTCCTTGAGAAGCTTACACTCTCACTGTGTGTTTGAGAATTAGAGAGTTATATGTGAGCAAGTGACCAGATACATGATCAGGAAATTGAGAAAAGAAGAACTAGCTCTACAGCTAAAAAAGGAAGAGTTAGAATCAGATGGTTGGATGATAGTACCTTCCAGAGTAGGATCAACCTTTCTCCCATCCCCTACAGAATCCCTTCTTTGATTCAGTCATTCAGCCTCTGCTTGCTCCTCTAACACATTTGTTCTTTTTGTTGAAATCAAGCCATATCTACCTCCAACTAGTTCTCATGCATTCTCCTTATTTTCTTAGTAAAGCAGGATTTATTTTGAGCCAGACGAGAGGGAAAGAGTTTGGTTGCTTTCACAGAGAGAGTGCCAGGAGCATTTGCTGCAGGGAATCCCCTGGGGCAGAGGCTTCCCAGTTTCTAGGTTCACAGTGCCCTTAGTGTTTCAAGAAATTTTTCATGGTACCTCAAGGCAAAAAAAAAAGAAAAAGAAAAGAAAAAACTAAAAAGTCTCACTTGCTACGTGGTTAGGTCTAAACAACTTCATAGTAGTTGTTCACATGGTGTCCAACAGATGTCACTGTATTTCCCTCAAAACTTGAAAATACCCTGTGAGTCAATGCATGGTTTGGGAACTGTGGCTCTTTGGAATCTGGAGTGATTAATAAAGGAATTTATAGCTGTGAATTGACAAGGCTCAGTTTGCAGTTCGGCAGCATGAGCTTGCTGGATATCCATGGCTCTGTCTTTCTCTGCTGCTGGGCAGCTTAAAGTCAAAAGCAAACTAAGTAAATTGTCAGGGAAATTCAGTGTGGAGAAAGGGATTCAAGGCTAAGAAGGTGTCCCTGCTTTGGAAGAAGTGGAATTCTACTTCTGTCGCAGGCAATCCACATGTAGAGACAATACGACCTTGTTACAGCAGATGCCTTTGTTTCCTAATGGTTTTCTGTGGCAGTCAGAGCTCTGGCTTCAAGCCCAATATAAAGTCTCCTTGAAAATGCAGAGTGTAGCCTACGATTCTCTGCATTTCTCTACATCTCAACATCTAGCTCCTCATTTTACCCTCCATTTGCCATTTCTTTTTATTCTTTACATGCATTCCATTCCCTTTTACTACCTTTGTCTTCACTCAAAGCTTTCCTCTCTCTAGGCAGAGTTAGATGTGTCTCCTCTTGTGCTCTCAGAGTTTACTGTGTATTTCTGTAATAACATTTATCACATTATAATGCAGTTGATAATCTGACCTCTTGGTTTTAGGAACTGTGTCATAATCCTATTTTGTATCCCCAGTGTTAGGCATGATGCCTGGCCTACAGTAATGCTCAATAAATGATTGATGAATGAATGAATGGGAAGATCCTGAATATTCCAGGATATCATTCTCCCACATCATGGCTGGCTAAACCAAGATCTTGAAGTGGCTGACTACGTGAGGATAGTCACTTAATGCTTATCAAAAATTTAGGGAGTATATGTACAAGAACAGGTGTCCCTACTGATGAGGAGAATGCCCCCAGATGTTACATTTAGCTGTTCTGTTAACAGGGTCTTCTAGATGACTGGGCAAGTAAGGGAAGTTTGGTGGAAGAAATCAACTGCAAAGGCACTTCTTTAGAAAATCTCATCGTGGAGATCACAGCACCTGATTCCCAAGCCAAGACAGGTGAGTGCAGGCTCTTAAGAATGCAGTAAATAAACATTATTCTTCACTTTGGCCTTTGGCCTTTCGTTATGACCCCTTATTTAATAAAAGTCAGAATCAAGGTTGGGTATGAGAACAAAGGGGAGTGATCCACAAAGCAGTCTTTCCCCTCAATCTGATCTTTTCCCCATCTCTTCCCCAACCTGATCTTTGCTCCATTTTACAAAATTCCTTCCTGTGATGGGAAAAAGTAAAGGGACTAGTTGGCCTAAATGAACAGAGAAGGATTAAAATAGAATTTCCATCTTGGCGAATTTATTCTTTTTAAACAAGGGAATGGATGGCTATGCATCATCTTTAGATTGGAGTCAGCCCTGAAGGGTATAAGCATGATATCTTGAGAGAGACTAGGTATTTAGGAGTCAGTGTTGGTCTGCCAAGGACTGCCACACTTCTTGGAAGTGGATACAAAGATGGTGCCCAGATATATGAATAATCTCTGGCTGCAAATTAAGTCTTTCAAACAAAATCCATATGAGCTCACAGTCACTTTCTGGTTTTTAATTGGGACCTTATAGGTTTTATTGCCAGACTGGGTTAGTGCACACCTACAGTCACTTTAATCGTAAGGCAAAAGTTTATGTTTTCCTCCTGAGAACAGCCACTTTTCTGTTGAAGTTTAAAGATCTGTTGGAACTACCCAGAAATGACAGCATTTCAGGGAATTGATGATTCTTATATTGCAACACATGAAACTTAGAAAAGTTCAGGGACTTACTAGTATGTGACTACATTAGGAGTCTGCAAGCTTTTTCTGTAAAGGGCCATGTAGTAAATACTTAAGGCTTGTGAGCCACATGTTCTCTGTTACACTACACATCCCTACCACTGCGGCACAGAAACAGGGACACACAGCATACAAGTGGACGGGTGTGGCTGTGTTCACATAAAACATTATATACAGAAATTGGCAGAGGGCCAGATTTGGCCAGTATAGTTTTCTGACTTCTAGACTAGATCATTGGTTTTTCAAACATTTTAAAGCACTAAAATCTTTTTTTTAAGTAATCTCAAATACAGGGTGCCTGGGTGGCTCAGTTGGTTAAGCGACTGCCTTCGGCTCAGGTCAGGATCCTGGAGTCCCTGGATCGAGTCCCGCATCGGGCTCCCTGCTTGGCAGGAAGTCTGCTTCTCCCTCTGACCCTAACCCCTCTGATGTGCTCTCTCTCATTCTCTCTCTCAAATAAATAAATAAAATCTTTAAAATAAATAAATAAATAAATAAATAAATAATCTCAAATACAACTCTACTACATAAAACAGATACAAATGATATTTTGTTGGCATAAATTTCCCTTATAACTGAATTTATAGCATTTTATCTATCATGAAATCCATCAGTGAAAATATTGAGGCTATCCTAGGGAATATAAAGATTCGACAAAGGATTTTTGGATGACAGCTTTATTATCAGATTTATTTCTCCATTTTGTTTGATTGCATTGTATCCAGGAAATACAGGTTACACAGATAAGTAGTTGTAAAGGATGACAAATGTTTTTAAAAGTTCACTTTATGGTTCACCTGTGTCAGAAAAAATTGTCAAAGTCTTGGAAATGGACAACAGAAAAGTATTGGGTGTCCTTTCAGTGAAGTGTTGGGCATTGTCTGATAGGCTTGGGTTTTTTTGTTTGTTTGTTTGTTTAGATTTTATTAATTTTTTGATAGAAAGACAGCAAGAGAGGGAACACAAGCAGGGGGAGTGGGAGAGGGAGAAGCAGGCTTCCCACGGAGCAGGGAGCCTGATGCGGGGCTCGATCCCAGGACCCCAGGATCATGACCTGAGCCGAAGGCAGACGCTTAACGACTGACCCACCCAGGCGCCCCTCTAATAAGCTTTTGGAAATGATTTGGTTCTGAGTGTGCATCTTTAACTGAATATCTGTTCTATTCTAGAGTTTTGTAGATAATTGATAGTAATGCAAATGATTTGTCCATAGGAATTCAAGTAAATTTTGCCCAATGGAAAAGATAAATCTCAAGTATTATTATCCTGTAGATTGCTAACCAGTTTCCCATTAATTACTCATTTATTAATCTCCTCAAGAGTTATGGGGTAGAAATTGTACATTTAGTACAGGTAAAGGGGGCACAGTAACTAAGACGTCACCCACTATGAAGTGATGTAGCCTAAATTCAAACACAAATATACTTGATTCAAGATGGAAAAAAAAAAAGTTCCCCTTAGAGTCTCAGAACACTCCTCAGTTAAACTGAACCAGAAGCTTGAAAGTGATGTAATAAATTCTTGTTTCAAAGTTAGATCACAAGAATTTTAATGAAGGTTCACATTCTTTTCTTAAACATAGAAAACTCCTAAAACTGGCATTGAGAACAAAAGCTTGCCTGGAACTTGACGTCATCATGACCTGACATGTTAAGAATTCTGTTACTACACGGTTCTGCCCTAATGAGAGAGCCTGCTTTGAGTAGATGCACCTTAGCCTTTCTTGTCACTTTCTTTAATATAGTACACACATGCTGTAAATGTCTTTCTTTGTATGAGAGGACATGTGTAGGTTTGACTACTGTAAAGTGCTAGCAGAGAGCTATAGCTTTTCCAATCAGTGACACTCAAAATGAAGTTTAAATGTAGGCAGGGAGGTACAGGAGCTACTTCATCTCTCCCCAAAGCAGCATAAATTGGTTATATCTAGTGGGTCAAGATGTGGTGTTCAACATAATTGAATGTGCATGTTTTCTTGCCATTTCTAAGTAATCCGAAATATATTCTGAAGGTTAAATTTAAACCAAACATTTACAGAGTCCCTACAGTACCTCTTTTGCTGCTTTGAAAATCACTAGCCCTGAGTGCTCTCAAAGTTCTGTTCTACCTCTGAAAAATCATGAATATTACAGTTCTTGACATTAATGTAGCTCTTTTTGTTTCATAAAGTGCTTTCACGTACACTACCTCATTACTTCTCTCCAGTAACCCCATCAGTGCTGACAGGATAGCTAGTATTATCTTCATATCCTAGAGAAGACACTGAGGTCCATCCGTACTCTAAGGCTCACATACTGAGTGAGTGACGGTCTTGGCCAGGACCACCTTCTCCCAATTACTAGTCCAGTTTCTTTTTTGGTCATCACCCTACTGCAATGGAATACGATCTTTTTGTTTGATCTATTTTTTCACTGAAAATACAATAATGTCGGGGCACCTGGGTGACTTGGTCAGTTAAGCATCCAACTCTTGATCTCAGCTCAGGTTTTGATCTCAGCATCCTGAATTCGGGCCCCGCATTGGTCTTCACACTGGGTGTGGAGCCTACTTAAGGAAAAAAAGAGAGAAAATACAGTAATGTTAACATTTAAAAGTTTCACAATTACTATTTTTTAATATAACCTTAACATAAAACTTTTTCCAGTGAAATCAGTGCACATGAGAGTTTTATTCTGTCCTTGTAATGTAACATTATATCATGAATATTCTTCACATTTCTGTATAATTTCTATAATTGCATGATCTGATTTTTATTTAACTTGGGACACTCCTGAAATATAAGGAATCAACCTGGGGGAGAATATAGGTGAAATCGTGGTAATCAGAAACAGAACCAAAGGCCCAAAGCAGAATTTATGGGAATATTTATGAGCCAGATTTATTGGCGCTTAGAATTTCCGTTTTCTGGTGGGGAAGGAGAGGAGAAAGTTTTCATGATAGAAAAGACAGAGAATCTGCCTTTTGAAGCAATATAAGGACTCATTTTAATGTCTTTATTAAAAGAATACTGCTTTTTCTGTCCTTAATTACACTTATTGTTCATTTTTGTCATGTTGAAGAACATTGATGTTAAAGTTGAACCTTTTTGGCTTTATTACAAATTCTCGTTCCGAAGCGTGGCAGACAGCACAGATATTCTAAAGACTTAATTATTTTATCAATACTTGTTTGCAACATTATGGCAGGATCCAGAGAATTCAAGTCAGAGATCAAGGAAGGGAATTCGGGTTTCCTTTAGAAAGGGTTAGGAACCACTACCGCTAAGAAGCCAAGATACCTGAGTGATGCTCTGTTGCCTGGCAGCTAAAATGATTTGTCTCCTTCCATGAGTATGTTGTCTTGTGCTGTGTTAACCTCCTGATACCTGACCTTAAAGTGAGTGCCAGAGAACAAATTCAGTGCCTGTATGTATTCCTAACACGTTTGTCTTGCCCTGTTTGTCTCCCTGTCCTTCTGCTCAGGTTCCATACTGCCCTCTGTAGGAAGCTCTGTAGGCAGTGTAAACGGATACCACACCTGCAAAGGTGAGAATGCCATTTCACAGTGCCTCTTTGTTGGATGTGTTAGGACAGTGTTCACGTTGGCATCTGTGTATGTTTTTGTATGTGTGAAAGAACCGCTGCCAGGATGGGTATGAGGGTAAAAATCTGGGGAAAAGCCACTGTGATGCTCCTTTGCTGGGTTGCTAAAGGCTAAGCAGGTTGGCAGCCAGTGAGATACGGTACTAGGAAATAAATTGGACCACTAGATAAGACCAGTAAGGAAAGAGCTTGAAGAAAATATATGTGAATCTTTGAGTCATAAAGAAGCCACGTTAGAGGTAGTCTAGTCTAACCCTCAGCTTCTTGGCCCATGATTTCCCTGCTTGGACAAGAGGGAACAGAAGAATGCCCCAAATCCTTCACTCCCTTCACTTCTGCAGTTCCCAGAATTTTTTTTATTTAGCATTTTAGCATTTTATTTGTACATCTGAATACGTCATGTCAAAATCTGAAAGCAGATTAATGAAAGCTCCTTTGCTTTGTATATATAAACAAGAACTTTTATGTGATTTAGCAGGAAGTGAATCTCTAGTTCACTAGAAGGAGTAGGAGAGACGTTTAATCCTGATGAGTAATTTAGCATGAGGAACCCATGGGGAGGCTTGGAGAACTATTCCCGATCTGATTTTTGTTTCTGTGATGCTAGATCTGACGGAGATCCAGTGTGACATGTCAGATGTAAACTTGAAATATGAGAAACTGGGGGGAGTGCTTCAGGAACACCAGGAAAGCCTTCAGGCTGTCCTCAGCAGAATGCAGGAAGTTCAGAAGGAAGCGGGCTCAGTGCTGCAGTGGCTGGAATCAAAAGAGGAAGTCCTGAAAGCCATGGATGCCTCTTCATCTCCAACCAAGCCAGAAACAGTGAGAGCCCAAGCTGAATCTAACAAGGTACTGTGTTTGCATTAGCTGCGTCCCAGACACTAGGAGGAAGGGGCTGTTGTATGGTGTTCTACCCAAGCCCAGGACCTGAGTGAGGGACACGGCCATCCACCCAGGCCATGAGGAGCCCTTTCAAAGGATTAATATGCTTAAACTCTCCTAAAGAATTTTCTTACCTATGAAATGAGAAATTATTATAAATAATATTCAGCTACAAAACCAGGCACACCTGATTGGCTCCATCGGAAGAGCATGTGACTCTTGATCTCTGGCTCATGAGTTCGAGCCCCACATGGGATGTAGAGATTACTAAAATAAATAAAACTTAAAAAAAAAAAAACCAAATCTGTTTATAGAAAGAGAATATCCCTCCCCTGAAGTTATCAGCGCACTGAGAATGGGATCTGGTTTTCCCTATGATTCTGTAAGCCAAACCATTCTCATCAAAGCCCCTTTGCAACCCTTGGGGCGATTTAAGTGTAGCTGTGATTACAGTTCATTCTTCAGGTTGACATGTAGGACTAGGAAAACTATCAGGAGAAACAAGACCATATAGGAAGTCCTATCAAAAAAAATTTTTTGCCAAACTTTTTTATATTCTAACTGGACGGAGTATGCCATCTTCTTCAGCTACCTAAATGTCCTGGATGCCACCATCATCATTATCATACCTGACACTTTCTCTGTGGGGGGTTGAATAATACCTTCTTACTGGGTTCTACCGATATGTTGTCCATAAAAGAAATTTAGATCCTGCTACTCAGATTTTCATTTTAAAGTAAAAATCAAAGCAGAAATGTTAAAGTATCTTAAAATCATGAAATAAGACACTGATAGAATCAGAAGTGGAGCCTATAATTGTGGCCCAGTCTTCCAGTACTTTCCTCCACACACACAGCTCTGTTTCCTATGCAGAAATCTCATGGCATCCCCGGTGTTCTCTCTCCTAGGCCTTCCTGGCTGAATTGGAACAGAATTCTCCAAAAATCCAAAAAGTAAAGGAAGCCCTGGCTGGATTACTGATGACATATCCCAACTCACAAGAAGCACAAAACTGGAAGGAAATGCAAGAGGAACTCAGTAAGTATTCAGAGGGATGTTGCAAATTCATTACATTGCTTGTCTTCAAAGCAAATATAGAATTTCAGCACATCCTATAAAGCAGGACTTATTTTTAGTTAATTTTCATAAGCAATCAAGAGGTCCAAATAGGGCTAGAGAGTGAGTGAGTCTGATTAGGGAAAAGAAATCTAGAGATTCCACTCAAAAGTCTCAGAGGTTTGGCTTTCTTGGGCAAGTCAATCTGATAATCTGCTGTGATAAGGAGAGCATTGGTGATGAAAATGAAAAATGGGAAATAATCTATTCACTGGTAGGATTAGGTGAATTATTCTGCATTCATACTGAACTATATATAAATGAGACTGGTGAATGTTTATTGGCATGAAAAAACATTGGCAGTAAAGATGTTTATAATATAGTAAGAGTTAAAAAACAGGCCATAAAATAATATAGATAAGATAGCCATACATCCGTATCTGTGTGTGTGTGCGTGTGTGTGTGTAGTTCTGTGTAGTTTCATGTAACCACCACCACGATTAAGTACAGAACTGTGTTACTTTAGTTAAAATTAAATGAAGGTTATTTTTAACTAATGCTGCAGGGGTCATTTCCTGTAGTATATTAGGAACATAACTTAGGGATCAGGCCAGTGGCTGGTGAGACTAAAGGAACACATTCTCTCATTTCCCCTCTACAGATTCCCGATGGGAAAGGGCCACCGAAGTGACCATGGCCCGGCAAAGGCAGCTGGAGGAATCTGCAAGTCATCTGGCCAGTTTCCAGGCTGCAGAATCCCAGCTCCGGCCCTGGCTGATGGAGAAGGAACTGATGATGGGGGTGCTGGGGCCCCTGTCTATTGACCCCAACATGCTGACTGCACAAAAGCAGCAGGTCCAGGTGAGCCACAAAGCTTACTGCGTTAAGCAAAGAAATTAGAACCCCGTGAACCTGGTTTTGAATGCTGTTCTCAGCAAGTAGATTTCAAATGACCCTAGACAAGTCAGTTAACCTTCCAGAGTTCCGTTTCCTCGGTTTAAATGAGATGTTTATAAGGGCTTTATCACGGTGCCTGTCAAATAATAAATAGTCAATAACTGTATTATTAATATCATTAACAGGCAGTAAGATGAATGGATGTAAGAATGGGGAATTTCTGACTACTTTGCAGAATCGTATTTTACTTTTAATCCCCAATAGTAGTGACCATATTACTTAATGTAATGTCTTATATCTGCTGGCTTCACTTAAAGGTTCTCTGTTGCTCAAACCGCAAAAAAAAATTGATTTAAGTGCCTACCATCATGGAAATTTAGGTTGGTCAAATTATATCATTTCTAATGAATTCCTGTTGAGAACTTTTTCTTCTTCCTCTTCCTCCTCCTCTTTTTCTTCGTCGTCTTCTTCTTCTTTTTTTTTTTTTTTTTGGTAAGCACCAGAGAAACTTCTATTATTCTACATCCTCCCAAACTCTTCCAAACTTGTTCCATTTCTTCTCACCATCCACCAAGTTCCCTAAATTAAAGACTTAAGAGTAGTTTTTAAAGGAACCCTTTCTTTTAGCCACTGTATCCAATTAATTATCAAGTCCTCTTTAGTTCACTTACAAATATTTTTCTATTCCAGTGGTTTTCAGACTCTTTGGTCTCAAAACACTTCTAGGCTCTTAAAAAAATTTGAAGACCCCAGGGGCACCTGGGTAGCTCAGTTGAGTAAGGGTCCCAATTCATGATTTTGGCTCAGGTCATGATCTCAGGATCATGAAATCGAGCTCCACGTTGGGCTCTGTGTTCACCGAGCTACTTGAGATTCTGTCTCTCCCTCTCCCTCTGCCCCTCCCTCCACCCTCTCTCTTTGTCTCTCTCTCTCTAAAATAAATAAATAAGTAAAATCTTTTTTAAAAAATTATTGAGGACCCCAAAGAGCTTGTGTTTAACTATTGATATCTATTAATATTTACTGTATTAAAACACTAAGGGGTACTTGGGTGGTTTAGTCAGTTAAGCATCTGACTGTTGATCTCAACTCAGGTCTTGATCTCAGGGTCGTGAGTTCAAGCCCCACACTGGGTGTGGAGCCTACTTAAAAACAAAAACAAAAACACTGAGCAATTTGAAAATATGTATTTATTAATTAATTTAAAAATAATAATGGTAAAACTGTAACATTAACATAAGTAACATATTTTATGAAAAAATAACATTTTCCAAACATAAAAACTTTAATAAGAGTGGTATTGTTTTATGGCTTTGCAAATCTCTTTGATGTCTGACTTAATAGAATATTCTCATACATTTTCATATCTGCTTCTGCACTCAATCTATTGCTATACTAGATGTCATGTAGCCTCTGGAAAACTGAACATTTGTGAGAGAAAAATTATAAAAGGCAAATAATATCTTAGTATTATTATGAAATTAGTTTGACCTCATGGGCCCTCTGAAAGGGCCTGGAGACTCCCAAGGATCCCTGGAGCATACTTTGAGAACTGCTGTTCTAAGTCTCCATTCTAAGTGCTCCTCCCTTAGGGAGGTTTGATCTCAGGCCTGTACCATCGCAACAGCCTTCTAATGGGCTTCTTTGTCTAGTGCATTCTCCACACGGTTACCAGATTATCTCCTTAACTCACACACCTGAGTACATGAAAATGCTTCACTGGCTCTTGGCTGCCGATTGAACAAAGTCCAAGTACCTGCTCAGTGTGGTATATGAGGCTTTCCACGATCTGGTCCCAGTTTGTCTTGCCAGCCTCATTTCCCACTCTTCTCCCATATACCCAGGTTTCTGCACACACCGGGTAACTCGTCCTTTCCTTGAACACACCATACTCATACCGCTCTGTGCCTTTGCTAATCCTAGGCCCTTTGCTAAAATGGCTCTCTCTCTTTCTCATTGGGAGAACTTCCTGTATCCTTTGTGAAGCCTTTCCTGACTTCCCTCGTCCTTTTGTCATTTTCCACAGAATTAATCATCCTTACTTCTTGCTTTCACAGTGCCATGTTCACATCAGTGTTTATCATTCTTTTTTTTTTTTTTTTTAAAGATTTTATTTATTTATTTGACAGAGAGAGAGACAGCTAGAGAGGGAACACAAGCGGGGAGTGGGAGAGGGAGAAGCAGGCTCCTGGCTGAGCAGGGAGCCCAATGCGGGGCTCGATCCCAGGACCCTGGGATCATGACCTGAGCCGAAGGCAGACGCTTAACGACTGAGCCACCCAGGCGCCCCTATCATTCTTTTTTTTTACATTGTTTTAGTTCATCGTTCACGCATCTGTTCTTCCTTAAAGTCATGTCTTACTTATATACAGTGTGAGTGATGAATACTTTCCATAAATTATCTTACTTAATCCTTAAAATAGCCAAGATAAGTACTTTCTATCCTCATTTTATAGATGAGGAAGCTGAGATTTGGAGAACTTTAAAAACTCACCTAAGGTTATATATACAGCTCGCAAGTGATAGAGTCAGGATTTGAACCCAAGCAGTCTGATTGCAGAGCCTGTAACCCTAACTACTTTGCTGAGTGAAATAGTGGATAGAAAAGAGTAAAAAGACATGCTACTTGCTTTAAAGAAGCTCATTGTCTACTCATGCTATGTTGTAATGTATAGATTGTATGTGCTGTTGGAATTCCAAGAAAGAAACTAGGAAAAACAGACGTATAGAGAGTTGAAATGGCAAGCCCAGCCAGTAATATAGCTAGCTCTGGGTCCCAGGGTTCCAGACTTGGAATTCAGAGGCCTGGGTTTTGTCTGGCAAAGCTGATGAGTGCCAATCCAGAAAACAAGGCCAACCTTAGTAACTGATATTGAAACAGAGTAGGACAAATAAGGAAGAAATAGAAGAGGCACAATCAATGACCCTTTCTTTCTTTTTTTTTTTTTTAAAGATTTTATTTATTTATTTGACAGAGAGAGACACAGCGAGAGAGGGAACACAAGCAGGGGGAGTGGGAGAGAGAGAAGCAGGCTTCCCGCTGAGCAGGGAGCCCGATGTGGGACTCGATCCCAGGACCCTGGGACCGTGACTTGAGCCAAAGGCAGACGCTTAACAACTGAGCCACCCAGGTGCCCTCAATGACCCTTTCAAAACAAGTTTTTATTAAGCAGTTGTTAGAAGTGATACTGCATTTTCCTAGTAGCCTGTTCCTTGGAGTTTTCTGGTTTATTTTTGAAAGGAGTTGGCACTACTTGGCACAATCCAAAATCAGTTTTTGTTTTGACACTCTTTTTAGATCTGTCTTTTCTCTCTCTAAACATCTTGATGTCATTTCTATTACAGTTTATGCTGAAGGAGTTCGAAGCACGCAGGCAACAGCATGAGCAACTGAATGAGGCAGCTCAGGGCATCCTAACAGGCCCTGGAGATGTCTCTCCATCCACCAGCCAAGTACAGAAAGAACTCCAGAGCATCAATCAGAAGTGGATTGAGCTGACTGACAAACTCAATTCCCGTTCCAGCCAAATTGACCAAGCTATTGTCAAAAGCACCCAGTACCAAGAACTGCTCCAGGACTTATCAGAGAAGGTCAAGGCAGTGGGGCAGCGACTAAGTGGCCAGTCGGCCATCAGTACCCAACCTGAGGCCGTGAAGCAGCAACTAGAGGAGACCAGTGAGATTCGATCTGATGTGGAGCAGCTGGACCATGAGATTAAGGAGGCACAGACACTTTGCGATGCGCTCTCAGTGCTCATTGGAGAGCAGTACCTCAAGGATGAGCTGAAGAAGCGTCTGGAGACAGTTGCCCTGCCTCTCCAAGGTTTAGAAGACCTTGCAGGTAAGGTAGGGTAGGCACACGCTGCGACATTAGTGGCAAGCCAAAAGATTGGCTTCGTGATAATAGTCCCCAGGATCTAGGGTGACCTGTAAGCAGCTTCTGGACTCAGACTAGTATTACCCTAACCCTTTGTCCAGCTATAGTGAGAAGTGCTGTGGTCATCACACATTGACTGAGCACTAACCATATGTGAAGCTTTATATAGCATAATCCCGGAGATAGGAGCACTAATATCAATTTTGTCAGCAGGTAGAGATTCATGCTCACAGGTATATGTATAGGTGGAGTTACACACATACTTTTACTAACACTCATTTACACCATGTGCATGCACACGCACACATATACCATATTGCAGAATTAGATGCTTATGATGGTCTTGTACAAGAAGAATTTTATCATCAGTTTGTTGCCTTTCTGTAGAAACATTTATGGCTTTTTACCAGCTTAGGAATAAAAGTTTACTTCTGTTATTCAGATCACCTTACAAGGTTGGTGTGAGGATTAAATAAGATCTAGTATATGAAGGAGACCAGCTTTGCGCTGCTTTTATGGTAGGCTCTCAGTTAACATTAGTTTCCTTCCCCTAAGATTAGCCCATATACTCTCAGCAAACATTTTAAATGCCATGTTCAGATTTGACTGGTTTAAATTTGATTTTCTCATTTCAGCTGATCGCATGAACAGACTCCAGGCAGCTCTTGCCAGCACCCAGCAGTTCCAGCAAATGTTTGATGAGCTGAGAACCTGGTTGGATGACAAACAAAGCCAGCAAGCGAAAAACTGCCCAATTTCTGCAAAATTGGAGCGGTTACAGTCTCAGCTCCAGGAGAATGAAGAGTTTCAGAAGAGCCTTAATCAACACAGTGGTTCCTATGAGGTGATTGTGGCTGAAGGAGAATCTCTGCTTCTTTCTGTACCTCCTGGAGAAGAGAAAAAGACTTTACAAAACCAGCTGGTTGAGCTCAAAAGCCACTGGGAAGAGCTTAGTAAAAAAACTGCAGACAGACAATCCAGGCTCAAGGACTGTCTGCAGAAAGCTCAGAAATATCAGTGGCATGTGGAAGACCTCGTGCCATGGATAGAAGATTGTAAGGCTAAGATGTCGGACTTGCAGGTCACTCTGGATCCGGTGCAGCTAGAGTCCAGTCTCCTGAGATCAAAGGCTATGCTGAGTGAGGTGGAAAAGCGCCGCTCCCTGCTAGAAATCCTGAACAGTGCTGCTGACATTCTGATCAACTCCTCAGAAACGGATGAAGATGATATCCGGGATGAGAAGGCTGGGATCAACCAGAACATGGATTCCATTACAGAAGAACTACAGGCCAAAACAGGGTCTCTTGAAGAAATGACTCAGAGGCTCAAGGAGTTCCAGGAAAGCTTTAAAAATATCGAAAAGAAGGTTGAAGGGGCCAAACACCAACTTGAGATCTTTGATGCTCTAGGCTCTCAAGCCTGTAGCAACAAGAACCTGGAGAAGCTAAGAGCTCAACAGGAAGTGCTGCAGACCCTGGAGCCCCAGGTAGACTATCTGAGGAACTTCACTCGGGGCCTGGTAGAAGATGCCCCAGATGGATCTGATGCTTCCCAACTTCTTCATCAAGCCGAGGTCACCCAGCAAGATTTCCTGGAAGTGAAGCAAAGAGTGAACAGCAGTTGCATGACGATGGAAAACAAGCTGGAGGGGATTGGTCAGTTTCACTGCCGAGTCCGAGAGATGTTTTCTCAGCTGGCGGACCTGGACGATGAGCTAGACGGCATGGGTGCCATCGGCAGAGACACCGATAGCCTTCAGTCCCAAATTGAGGATGTACGGCTATTCCTCCACAAAATCCAAGCCCTCAGGTTAGACATAGAGGCCTCTGAAGCCGAGTGTCGGCAGATGCTGGAGGAAGAGGGGACTCTGGACTTGTTAGGTCTCAAGAGGGAGCTCGAAGCCCTGAACAAGCAGTGTGGTAAACTGACAGAGAGGAGCAGGGCTCGCCAGGAGCAGCTGGAGCTGACGCTGGGCCGCGTGGAGGACTTCTACAGGAAGCTGAAAGCCCTCAATGACATGACCACGGCGGCAGAAGAGGGGGAGGCCCTCCAATGGGTCGTGGGGACCGAAGTGGATCTCATCAACCAACAACTAGCAGATTTTAAAGTAAGTCTTGCCATTGTTTTTTAATCTTTTGCTATCTGATACGTGTTTCTTTTCATGTAGCTTGGAAACCCGTTGTATATACATCGTAACTTCTGTCCCGGGGCTGCTATTCTTGCTTCCAACACCGCCAAAGCACACTGTTTGGAGACTAAACAGTCTCTTGAATTCCGGGCAACTGGTTTGAACATTTTTCTATTGTAATTTATTTCAGTGTTGATAACCAACTGAGGGTATAGAAAGAAATTTCCAAATGTTACTGCTTACTCTGAGAATCTCCTCTTGTGATTTGTAACAGCAGTGGATGTTTCTCCAGGTCCCTGTTTTTCAGTTGAGGTGTGAGAAGTTATAAGATAAACAAGGGTCATCTTCCTAAAGTGTTGGGTTTTTTTCCCTCATACTTCAGGGGAAAGTTATTGATGTATTATGAAATAAAATCAAAATTCTCATGACTTTATTAAGATAAGACATGACACTTCAAAGAAGTTTCCCTCTTATAGCAGGCAGTGCTTAAGACTATACCCCAGACCCACAGGAGTACAAGTTCTTGGCCTATAGCAGAATTTGAAAAGCACTGCCCTAACTGCAAATATGTTTTAATTCTTTGCCTAAGTCAGAATTTCCAGTTCTGAGATTTTGTGAGTCAAAATTAAAACAACAGAGGAAGATGGAAGGAGTTGACTCAAAAATGCGATTTTGCCAGGTTAGGGGCTTGGAACTCTCAGGACTGTCTGTTGGGTCATGGCTCTTGGGATAGGAGCCTTTCATCCTGAGTTTCCTCTGTTGTCAATGCCAAAAAGGGCCTTACTGCACTGCTGGAGGCCCCTCTGCTGCTTTTCCGTCCTGGTGCACAGAGTAGCTGTGGAAAGGCTACTGGCCGCACTTTGTTCCCATCCACACCATCATACTCCTGCCATCAGAGTTTGTTCTCTAGAGCACCCCCCTGCCCCCAGCCCCACGCCTGTCAGGATTCTTTCGAGTACAGACAAAGATGGAGAGATGGTGTTGACACCAGGTCAGAGCCCCGTGGTCCTGAGAAAAGTTACAAGACCCAAGTACAGAAGGGTGGCTGTTTCAGAAGGGCCCTCAGCTTAGGGGATGTTCAGCTCTGAAGCGGGACATTGGCTGAAGACCCCTTACAGTGTCTGGAGACAGTGCACTTTGGAGTGACAAGTCACCGTTTTGGGGATTCTTGAGGCCCCAAATAAGGAGAGGGGAGGAAGGGAAAATTCAGACCCGTGAGCTCACATGTTTTCCTCTTGGAAACTCCCACACCTCCATTCCAGGGGCGGGGTGGCCTTTCTTGCTTCATCAGTGTGATGTTCCTGCCTCTTCCACTGTAAACGCCTCAAAGGAGAGACTGTCTTCTACAGGCTCTGGGTTACTTAGGATTAACTGTCTAACCAACTAAATGAATTTCTTAGAAAACTGAAGCCTATCCCTTTGGGCTCCAAAATAGTTTTATCAAACTAGATTTTATATTTTATTTGCCTAATTTTCTAACCACTATGTTGTGCAGACGTTTTTCTTGATGAGGGCAGGTTAGCATTAGTAAAAAGATGATGCTGTTCTCTCCAATGGTGATATCCTCAAGGATATTAGAGACATTTGGGACTGCTTTGTATTGAATGTTCCTAAATGAGTGTGCAGGTTGAGTTGGGTATTGAAGTTCTTGTTTAGTGCCTCTTAGTGTGTGTGTAGCTTCTGTTCTTCCCCCTTACCCGGATAGCAGGTATTCTTTTCTCCTGCGGTTACTTCTCACTGCTGTCCCTGGGCCTGCCTTTAGCAGTCTGTCCCTTGCTTCTCATCTTCAGTGAGCTAGAAAATGAAGTAAACAAGCCTGTTAAAATTGCATTAAATAGAAGCTGGAATATAAAAAAGAGTCCACAGGCAGGCATACAGAGTGTTTGGATTTGAGAACAACTAATCATTTCCTTTTCATTTAATCCTTGGTTGCTAGAAACATTCTGAATTTTGATGTAGCTGGAAGATTTTAAGAAATTACTGGACATTACTGTATTTTATTTGTAGCCTAGTATGTAGCCTGGAAGTGCTCAGAGTTCGGTCACTGCTTCGTTGTTTATGATAGCATATTTATTTCACTGATTTCTAAGAATAAGCCTCCCACTACCAATACCCTGTGAAGGCTGGGACCAGACACTGATGAGCTGGTCACCTCAAAGTGTGTTTCTCGGCAGGGGACTGGTGTTGAAATGCAAGACTGGAAGAAAAGAGAGAGAAAGAGGGTGGTGGAGTTGTGTGCCCTGTGTGCATCCGCCTCAAGTTGGGGGCGCAAATCAGAAGCCTGGTTCCACAGGTCCACCTTATAAAGTCAAAGGCGTTGGGAAGAGTTTTTGCCTCCTCCCAGCAAAGGCCTTTGGTCAGGAGGGGAGGAGCACACTCCTGGCTCTGCTCCTGCTGAGCTCATGGGAAGTGAAAACAATGGGAGGGGGAAAAGCTCAGTGTGTCAGTTCCACAGTCCCCTAGAGGCTGAGTAAAGGGAAGGTCTTTTTGGACGCATTCTGAGGACTGAGTCATTTTCATGGTTTGAGTATTGAGTTTGGGGTTAATGTGCTCTATATCCAGCAATGGATTAATCTTCCCTCGCTAAAGCAGCAGACCGGATTCATAAAGCGTGACTCTGCTTTCAGATTCAGAGTGTTTTTAATAAGTCAAAACCAGAGGGGTACCTGGGTAGCTCAGTTGGTTAAGCGTCTGCCTTTGGCTCAGGTCATGGTCTCAGGGTCCTGAGATAGAGCCCTGTTGCCTTTTTTTTTTTTTTTTTTTAATGGGATCACACTCTCAGCACAGAATCTGCTAAAAAGAAGAGGATATGAGTCTGTAGACAGAAGCATGGGCTGTGCTCAGACCTGGCTAACTCCACTGCGGATGGGCCGAATAGACAGATGAGTCAGGTCTGGGATCAGCCCCGGGCTTACTTGGGACTGTGCAGTGGTGCTGAGAAATGTGTAGAGAGGCAGCTTGTGGGAAAAGTTATTTCCTCCTTAAATGAACGTGAAAAACTGAAAGTCATGATTCCGAGGAAAGGCTTTTCCGTCAAATACATCTGAATAAATGATAGAATCTGGTCAACCAGTGAGGATCTGTCAAATGGAAAGAGAGTCCTCTCCCACTGTAAACAGGCAAAGACCTCAAACCTTCCTGAATTAGGCACTTGACTGGGTTCAGTCATTCCAGAAATCTCAAATGAGAATGTTGAGCGTGTTTTCAGAACAGGAAGGAAAAGACCTTGGCTAATCTCTTCAGGAAATTCTGTTTTCCTGAACAAGAGAGTCAGTGATTATTGAGGAAAAGGAATTGTATGTGCATAACAGACACTAACAAGACCTTTATTTCACTGAAACTTAAGCCAAAGAAATCTTTTAATTCTGATGATAACAAGAGGCTTTCCTCATTTTGAAATTCCCTGTGCTAGTTTTATGGTCAAGAATTGAGATCATTCTAAATCTCAAACCAACCCCTTCCTGTACACAGAGAGAGAGAGAGAGAGAGAGAGAGAGAGACACCCCTGCCCAAGAACCACCATGGCCTCTCAGTCAGGAGGTTGGTGGTGGTTTAGGCATCAAGAGCAGTGTCAAGAAACCCAGATGCCCTTTGTACTCTGTATTTCATGTGTTAATTTATATTTACTGTGTATTCAGGCCAGGCTTCAGATTCAGCACTCTACCACTCAGTGACAAGAAAAAACAAGTGGGAAAAATGGAAACCTTTTTAGGGTCTATAGGTTTCTCACAAAGGTTCACTTCACCTAATGGTGCATTGGAAGCATCCAAGCCCATTGGTCTTTTCCTTCTTTGCCTTTGAGGCTGGGCTGGTGGGATATACTAAGGCAGCGGGCTTGCTTAGGACTGTTCTCAATACTAATTCAGGCTGAGCAGAGCCCAGGGTCAGGGATTGTGCATGCTTACAGCCTTTGTCTGGAGACCTCAGTATCCCACCATAATGCCAGAACAAGAAAGCCCTGTAAACCTCTTCGTTTGATTTTTTTTTTGCTTCATGAAAGGCGAGTTTAGGCTTCCCTCTGAGCACACATGAAAACTCTTAGAAGACAGGGCCTGACGTGGAGCTGAAAGGCTGCCAATTTGCACAAAGATACTTTCCTGCCTTTCAAACAATTACAAAGACAGTATCAGCCCATCTATGGTTTTGCCAGTTAGATTCACTAGAGAATAAAGCAGATGAGATCAGCATTATCTACCTGCCCCTGGAAAGAAAGGAAATCACACTTGGTGTGACCTGTCTGTCACCTAGAGGTTTCAGTATCTCCCGCTCTACAACAGCAAGGTAAGTTGAGTAGGCACCCCCTCTCCTGCCTCGTGCTGACCGTTGGCCTGTCTTGGTTTTCTTCCTTCCTTCCTTCCATGCGGCTACTCCCATAGGAACTACTAGGGTCCAAGGAAGGAAAGCGAATGCCCTAGAACAGGGTTTCTCAGCCTCAGCACTCTTGACATTTTGGGTGGATAGTTCTTTGTGGTGGGGGATTGTCCTGTGCACAGCAGGATGTTTAGCAGCCTCCCTGATCTCTACCCACTAGATGCCAATAGCAACCCTCCCCCAGTGTAACAACCAAAAATGAATATCCAGACATTGCTGAACGTGCCCTGGAAGGCAAAAATCTCCCTCGGTTGAGAACCACTGCCTTTGAAGAAAATTGCCACCTACGTGTGGGAAACTTCAGCTGGAAAAGGTGCTGGTTGATTAAGTTAAATATTTATGTAGCAGACGCCTTCTCATAATCTGATTAAGACTGTGGTAGCAGCAACTGGCTCTAAGTCAGCCTTCCTTTAGGCCAAGCCCTGGATTCTTGATTTTTGCCGGTACTGATCCGTGTCTAGTTTAAAATTTCCTAGGCACTTTCCCTGGCGTCAGCAGTTTATTTTTCGTGGAGTTGTTGATGCAGGTGTTTGGTTGATGATGCATTTCTAAAGAGAAGAGGAACTTCCTGTGTGGAAATACTTCAGGAAGCTTCCTCGTTCCATGCC